TCTATCCAACGAGTCAGGAACTGGAGCAGAAAAAAAATCACGCAATCACAGAGATGCTCCATGAGAGACGTTTAAAAGATAAAGTGCTGTCACCGAGGCCCAAGGTAAATTGCATAATTTTTGTCCCAAATCGCTCCAATTGCTGAGCTTTGCTGAACTAAAAGCAAGAAAATTAAAACCATTGAATGGGGAAATAAGATTGCCAATAATGTGTGCATTTATTCCCAAATGTTTGAGAAGTGCGTAGTGCATCGCTTGGGTAAGTCCACGATTTAAAAATCTAACTTACGCTACTGAAGCTTGCATACACCACATGAGAAGCAGGAGAAGTGGTAATAGTTTTCAGAGCGCGGTTAAACCCTCAAGCGGCTCATAATTACTATTTCCTTAAATCTTGAAACACATTGCCAACTTCGGTCCTAGAAATGCGCCAACGTGAGAATTAGCTGAGCGTTCCCAACCGATGTTTGAAGGCACCCTGAAGGACACAGGATGAGGCACTGCTGATTCCACTGGCATTGAGTGCTACAGAACAATGCCAGTGGCTGTTAGCAAGGCGAGACTAAGGAAGGGCTGAGTAAAAGCAGAGGTTTGAAAGATTGTAATTCAACTTCTTTGCATGCGAGATTTTATCTGGACTTGGCTCATGGTGAAACGTATGCTTTGTGGAAGTCCACTTCCTGCTTCCACAAAATATAATTTAGTTGACATAAACGATGCCCCTTCGCAGTAATTCCACAAAGCTAAACGACTTACATTGCTGCCATGGTTTGCAATGTTGACCAGAAAACACCGAATTCGGCGCATGGCTCAAATGATAGGTAAAAACCTCTTGTCTCTCCTTCCGGTAAGATAATGCTGGCAGGTGGTGCTTACAATGAATTTGATTCAATGTTAGTTTCCATTTTCTTCCTCGCAGTACGGACGAAGTGGCATTTTGGATGCTCCAGCTTCCTAGAAAATGCAACCAAATAATTATTGATAGGCTAATTACGATGACATTGATTTTTAATTGAGGAAATCGAAGACAGCAGAGGCGTACATTTACTTACAACCTTAGAAGCCATGCATGTGGACTTATGGAAGGCTGAATTTTGCGGTTCTAGAGGCATACCTAGGAAGGCTGTTTGTAAGGACCGTACCCAGAAACCCTGCAGCAATGACCTTGAGAGGATAAAGAGGGAGCTTATGGAGCACACCAATGTTTTGCTCCACGAGGCTCACCGCATGGTAAATGTTTGGGATGATCCATCGGACTCATTTGATGTGGAACGTCTAATGGAGCAGTTTGAAAAGCGTCTGGATAGATTAGATTTTCAAGTGGAGAGGCATTTGAGCAAGAGAAAACATCGTCATACAGGGACAAAGACAGTCACTGTATTAATGCCTCGATCATTTTCTTAACAAACGAAAGTTCATAGTTAATAATAATTTGTTGTCCACATTTTTTAACTTATAATTAAAATTTGCTTAGTTCTGATGGCTAGGTGTCTAAAATACATGATCAGCGAGTTGTGCAATGCTTTGAAATCCTTCTATATAGCTAGGTGATGAAGGTTGTAATGATTTGGAAGGTAGGAGTGGGGGTAGGAGCGAAGGAACGGGCGGAGATAGTCGCCTAGAAAGGGGACAGGAGGTGCCGTGGTCTGGGAATAGGTGTCAGTGATTGGTTAGTTGTCCTACCTTCCAGAAAATTGACTGCCTCAGTCAAGTTGTAACAATTTGCTAGCTGGCTGACTATCTCGGCGGCTGCAACTACCGTTGTAAAGGTTTAGGTATAGATGTCGGTACATACTCCTCGCAAAAATTTTCTGGATGAATCGGTGACGGGGTGGTGCGAGGCCATATGCCATTGCTACATCTTAGATCTTATCGCCATCCATTCCAAACGCCTGCCGTAATACCTTTGACCTGAGTTTGCATGTCAAGTGTTTGCAACGTATCACTACTAGCAGAGTGATTGGAGAGGGGAGATCCGACGGCTGTGTCCACGTATGTGTTCCACATCAGATTAGGCTTGATCTCGACCCTCGAACTCCTCAGTCCAAGCCTCTGCTTTGTCAAGGATAGCAATGTCGTTTGAAAAGCTGCATAAACTTTTCTACATTACTGTTGATGCCCAGATGATGGCCAGAAAATCAAATTGTAATAACTTTTTTGAATCGTTCATTAGTCATTAAATAAAGCTCATTTGTATGGGCTTATAAAACAGCGACTTGGGAGCTTTAAAAAAAGGATATTTACGGGTCAATAAAATTCTAAATTTCTGCTAAAGTAGTTTATGAACTTTTCAAAAAATAGCTAGGGCAACCTGCTAAGCGCCGACTAATGTAACACCAAAAAGTCATTTAGTAATTTTAAGGGAGTTAATTTCGTTCATGATCTTGAAAATCGCCACTGACGAGTTAGTATGATTGTTATTATTTCAGCCGGTCCTAAAGTCCTCAGGGGAAGTATGGAAGCGCTCACACGCACACTAGCCACCCTTAATAGCCAATCGCCGCAGCCGCGCACCCCTTTCCCTCGCCCCCCGCCTCCTCTACACTTCCCACAAAACCATTCAGCCTCTCCACACTGCGTCCCCCAATTGACACCGATTATAATCCGATCAGGTGCTTAACTGATTGGGATGGTGGTGAACAGGGGTGGGACCAAGTGGCGCTGGCTGCTCGCTAGATGAGGCGTGGCCTGGCGGTGGCGGTGGTGGACGTGAAGGGGGTGGGAATTTCCAGAAAAACAAACATTGCGGAAAGCCTGACCGCGAGTGGGTTGGTTCGGCCGTGTACGCGATGCAGGCAGGATCGATTACATTTACACGATTCAGAACTTGAAACAATTAAGCTGACCACTTTGGGTGGCAAAAATGGGGGCTGGGGATCACTGTCCATACTTTTAACTTTCATTAAGTAGTTCAGCTGTCAATCCATACAAAAGCCATTACTTTTGCTCAAACAACATAAACCGGACGACTGAATTACCTCCGTCACGTACGTGACAAATTACAACCTCTATCCATTGTATATTATATCGTAAACATGTTCATTGCTTTATATGCATCAGCTACAGCTATAGAGGTCAACGTAAATTGATCGTGTTTATTTTAACGTTTTGTCATGATTTGAAGGAGTTTCTCTATATGGAAATTAGGAACGCTTACAAGCCATTCTAATGAGCTCTACCATTCTTTATCATCACGAGTACTAACCAACTTTATTTCAGCTTAAGTGGAAGCGTTTAATCCTTCGTTTCACCCAAAACTGACACAGAACAGCAATCACGAAGAGGGCAAATTTCCCGGCCGAAGGCATTGGAACACAGAGTAATCAACTGTGTACCAAAGGCGTAATTTGGGTGGCGACATCGAATCTTACAAGCGTAACTTCTCTTTGCGGTACTTGCGCGAAGGTGTGTACTGAGTTAAATAATTCGGCAGATGATTGGTTCCAAGTCTGTCCGATGTCCACTTTATGCACATCGGTTTGAAAATGAATTTCCTTCCGCTTGATTTGACTACAACTGTTAAACAGCGGTTTCATTGTCGGGAGTGGCGCCAGCTACACCTGAATGAGATAAAAATATGGCTCGGATAAAATGCAGTTGTGTAACTGCAAGATGGGCCCAAAATTGCAGTCGGTACCTGTGCACAGAAATGTGCGCCATTTTGCATTCTCTTTCATCACTGCGGTAGGGTAGGGTAGGTGGGTTGGTGGCTAGGCAAGTGAAACAATCACAGAATCTCTTTAAACTGGGTTATGGGATGACAGCGTGCCAACAGTTCTGCAAGGAGTTAAACGAATATCTTTGCTGCACATGAGTGGAAAGTAAAAGACAAAAATAAGGATAAAAGACACTCATTAAAGGCATCCCACCATTTCAAGCTCCAGCATTATGCTTTCACAAAGTACTCGATGCTACAAAGGGAATCTTCAATTTTAGGTGTACAGCGAATTTTTTTCTTGCACACAAATGGTTACAATTTTAAGTTAGCAAAGTACATTAAATTTCTGCACATTTTATGTGCAGAGAAAGGGACGTTTGCGCACGTGAGCGGGCACAGCAGGCAAGAGAGCTGCGTTGCAATGTTTACGTCCAAAGTACGGACAGAATAAATTTGTGCTTTGCTTATTCTCACCTCTTGTTGCTGCACCATAAGTTAGCAGCATGTTTACTTAATTTATCCCCTGATGCGTGCTCAAACTCTGAAGGACATCCCTCATATCAGATACTGTATGCGAAATCTAAAAAATAATTTCCTAAGTAAAAACTTAGATGAGTATGTCTTATTTAAGGCCGTGCTCATCTTTCAAAATTAATTTTGCAAACCATCGCTCACATATCTACCTTTAAGCGTTGATCTTGACTTTATAGGAACTGGACAAACATGTCCTAATAAAAGTTTAACACAGCTCTACAAACATAATTATTTAATTGTGACATCAAGCACAAAGAACTTGAAAGGATATCATTCGTAACCAAAACTCTTAGTGAAGAAGATATAGTAAGCGTAGTGTTCCTTTAAAACGTAGAATCATCTTGAAGGACCCTAATGAAATTTACTGTTACAGAGAACTGCTTTTCATGGGACATGGTCATCCCTCAAGCGCACATTCATGACACCCAAAATCAGATTTAGAAAATAAATTTGTACATACGTGGTTAATTTCGCATAATGTTTGAGCTGTTGTTGAATAATGCCTCGTTTTTCCAGACCGTTTCACATCCTCGATTGAACGCACCAATAAGAGTTAGCATCATGCACGCTCTTGCGTCCCTATTAGCCAATAATATGTTTGAAAAACCCAAACTGCGTACCAATCATTTGGCCGGCAACTATCATTGGTTGACGCACGGGTGGCCGAATTAGAACAACATCGGAGGTAGCATGCATTCGATCCTTCTATTGCCTCATACCACACACACACACACAAACACACAAGGCTATGTTTTTGTTATCTCAGTAAACACACGTACATACACACGCACCTTCACGGGCAGAATCAATGAATGCCCTACAAAACAGCAATCAGCACCCCCACAATCAGCAAGTTTACTACAACGCAAACACATGCAGTGATGTCCGTGAAAACACGCCAACGCAGACTGCTAGCAATGGTGAATGCAAACATCAGGATATTGCTGGTCCTAGTGATTACCTCCCTATCAATACTTGGTCAATCGCTCCCCCTCTAGAGCCTAACTCTCTTAACAGAGAGCAGGTTACTACTATTCCACCCTTTCAACCAGAGGTGTCCCCTTTCTCAGTCACTCTCGGTCCACATCCCTCGGTTGCTACAGCCACTTCTGCTACCACCCGGGCAGTGGCAGCAACAGCCTCTTCAATCCCAGAATCGGAGGAGGCTGATTACGGGTTTCCATCTACCTCACAGATTCACGTGTCGGGTGAGCAGTCAATGAAACCACCGTACTCATACATTGCCCTCATCAGTATGGCCATAGATGCACAGCCTGACAAGATGGTAACTCTCAGTGGAATTTATCGTTTCATTGCGGAGAGGTTAGTTATGCAATGTAAAACTTGTCTATCTTTACGTGTTGTGTGTCAATATCTTGCAAGCTATTGTCAGCGGCGTACTTATAAAATAAAGTTTTTAAGTCAGAACATATTTACTGATATGAATTACAATTCTGACGCCATCAATGCAAAGGGTATAATAAATTCCTCCATCGCAACACAAAATTTAACATTATTTGTGGCTCGTTAAGGATCGACTTTTGATTGCACAACGTAGACTGCCAATATTGTGTAATTAAGAGTTACAGGTCTAGACTCTATGCTTGTAAATTGAACATTGAGAGCGTAAGAAGTTTGATCGAATGCGATCTTTCCTTCACGTTTACCCATAATTTAGCGAATATTATGTCTCAGTCATCTTATCGCTGCTGTTTTAAGTTGGATGTATTTATTGCAAAGTTTATTATGGGTCCATCTTTAAACTTCGTGAATAATAAATTTCCTTTGTGAGTCGAGTTAAGGCGAATGGTACCATGTTTTCCGATAGAAACGATAATTTTGGCGCCCGCAGATTAACAATGTCTCTGAAAATTCCTTTAGCGCTTGCTCAATAAGCCAGTAGTAGGAAACATTTCCGATCTCTTTTGTAAGGCTGTAAAATGTGCGTGCGTGTGTGTACCCTCGCTAACCTCCGTAACTTTTAGGTTTCCATATTATCGTGAAAACAAACAGGGTTGGCAGAACTCTATTCGTCACAACCTCAGCCTAAACGATTGTTTCGTAAAGGTTCCACGTGACGATAAGCGGCCTGGCAAGGGTGCTTTTTGGACTCTTCATCCAGCAGCGCACGGAATGTTTGAGAATGGCTCCTATCTCAGACGAAAGCGAAGGTTTAAGACGAGTCACAAAGAGTCGCCTTTTGCATCATCCGGAGACGTAAGTGCTGAAAGCAGTAAGAAACGAGGCGTGGCAAAGACTGCTAGAAAACAATATGATAGCTCCTCATCAGCCCCAGTAGTTACGGAACCTAATCAAATAGCGTCCAACGAAGAAAACCAAAATGAGGAAGAACCTCGTTATTACCCGCTGGCTTCCTTGCAACGTTTTGGAGGATTCCCATTTAGTCAGCCTGCTTACCCTCTTTACCCAAGTGGCGAGGTGGAGCTTAAGGCCGCAGAACATGGTGAAACCCCTGTGAGTTGTGACTGGAGCCCAGGTGAAGAAAGGACTGCTAGGTGCGAGTATGAGACCCAGACGGTACGTTTTGTCCCATGATTTATTACGCACGAGTTTTACTCATTTATAGTAAGTAGCTATTCACCCATCACCGCAGAACTTGCAACCAGGTGGGCAAACAAAGTTGCAGACCTATGCACCCCAAATACTACCCACCTTCCCACAGGCTTCGAACAATAGCGATATCAGGTTCTGGACGTCACGACAGATTTCTCCTACTAGCACTCGAAGTCTTGATTGGTCCACCACTTATCCCCGTCCTCCTGGTGGAATGTATAGCCTTCAATCCTCTTCCCAGTGCTCACAACCAAGCGCCTGGGTCGGTGAGGCCAACCTTATCGATCGCACCTACCTAATGATGTCAAGTCATCTTAAAAGTAGTGCTGCGCAAATGCAGCAAAATCGCCATCAACAACACCTCTACCAACCTGATCAACAGCAGCAACCAATACCTGGGTGGTTTAACATCGGTTATGGAACGACAGTAACAGCACCCTACAACACCGCCTCGCATGACTCTTCAACAAGCCTTGCGAGCATCTCGCCAGATCCAAACCTAATCACCACACAGGGGTTGCAGATCATGGCGGCAGAACCACCGCCATTGTCACTGACAGGTTCAGACTACGTACCGACGCCTCCCTACACCTACAGCAGTGGTGAAGGTGGGGCAAGATTTACAAGTGATGATGATGGATACACTCTGACTCTGAAACCAGAACCATAAGGTGTGAATTCCTTTCTTCCAGTTGTAGCGAAGATTTTCTACATATATTTACTTACACAAGTAAATTTTGTATTCCACAGTAATAAAGTTTATGATTTCCACTAACTTGAGCTTATCCCATTAGCACAGTCAATCTGGTCAGTGAACTGTTCAACTGCTGGGGTGAGAGTGATTGGGAAAACTGGACTGAAAGAGTTTTGTAACTGACTATCTATTGGAACAAAATTTGAGGATTGAGCAAATGGTGGTAGGAAGCATAAGCACAATAATCCAGCTGCCTAGTGAATGAACAAGGAGGAGGAAACTCTTTCTTCATTACATCTTCCAGCAGTTTCAGTTAACTCGCAAAGGTAAATACGAGTTACTCCCAGACACAGAAGATTTCAAACAGATTTGAGGATGCCAGAAGAACGGAAGTGTAGATGACTCCAACAAAAGTGTGTGCAGGGATTGAATGGCACAATGAGGAAATCGACGTGGTGAATCCAAGTGTAAAAATCACACTAATATCTTTGATTAAAGTATTTGACAGGATTGGTAAATCGCACACGGAACAGCCGTGCAGTATCAAAGGTGCTTCTTTAGTGAGACAGTACTGATCATGAGGCCGCAGTAATGCTCCATTCTCAGACATCAATCTCAACCTTCATTAGCGTGAGTGGCAGGGCAGACAGACTCTCACGAGAGTGAGTGACCTCACAGGCACTAACCTGACGTCGAAAAATCATACGACTGCAGGGGATTTCTACTCCACTCTTCAACATAGCCCCTTGCATTACTCTGAGGTGACCATCAGGTCCAATTTTACCAGAATCGGAATTGTATATCATTGCTTTCAAACCAAAAATATTTATGCAACAGTTTTGACTAACATTTTGTCTAGGTTACAGAAGCGAAATGGTAAGAAGTTGATCTGAGGGAGCAGACTTTGTAGAATTAACCAATGAAGAGACTTCTATTCGGTCCGCATAATGCAAAGCCTGGACCAATGGTAGCCTCTGTGCCCTTTTAAAGCAGTTTCGTAAAACAACTGCTGATTTGACATTCTGACTTGTAGCTCCATGCTTTGGGGGTTGGTTTGGACTGACAATTCTATGCTGTAAATCCTTCAGAACGCGTATTTTTTACCTGAATATGGCCTATTTATGCAGAAGATAATGTGAAGATGATCAACGAAACGTCAATTGTATCATCGGAACACCATGACACAAGGAAAGAACTTCAGCGTTCTCCTTTAAGATTGGCAAGCATTCAGAATATCAATAACCTTCACTACCTGCGTTACTATGGTCATTGAGAGGGATGGAAACGTTAGTCCTGAGGCTGCTTTGAGCCGACCCTTGGCGTCGGCATCGAGGATGATCCATAAGAAGGCCTTCCTTAGCTCTATTTATTAGCAAAACACTACCATCTCCAAACCATTTATGTACTTCATATTTTTGAGTTTTAATTATTTAATTTAGGACAATTGTGCAAACAACCACCGGAAATGGCATCATTAAAGTGGTCAAAAAAACTACAAATATGTATTGCTTGGATAATCGAAGGATGGCAGAACATACAAGTATCAAAAAGAGCACTTAAACTGTTCGAAGACAGTAATGGAAGACTTCGACAAGAAGAGATGGTTTATTAGCACCTCTCAAAAACCAGAGCCCTCTTTTCCTTCAAGCACAATCTTCGCTTCGATTTCAGCTGTAACGAGTTGTGCAACATGCGGCTAACCACAATGCAAAGCCAAAGAGAATTGAATGAATATGAATTACGTGGAGGATGCTGCCTAGTATTGATGGAACGTGCTGCAGAACCGGAGAAAAGAGCTGCATCGCAAGGCATTCGAGAGACTGCATAAAAGTCAAACTACAGTCTCCGACAAGTACACCTCATTTGCTAACCTCTTTTCGCAGAACCTATTGCACAAAATCAGCATTCATAATCCCAAATCCAATGCCATTCTCAGAACACAGAGTAGTAGGCTAGTTAAAACACTAATAAAAATGCATACACGTAGGGAAGGAAATGGGATAGCCTACTCTTTAATTTCGCAGGTTAACTCAGGCACAAAGTTTAACGTTAGCACGTACGGCCGACTGGCCGTAAACACAGGAGCTAGGAGCTTTTGGAAGAAGACAGGGGAGTGACCATCCTTCTTTTTTTCCGTAATTGAGGGGAACCAATCGGACTCAATTTGACGGCTTGCAAAAAAGGCCACTGAGTTCTCCGACGGACTGGTGCGCACAACTTCACTAAAGCACAACGAGTCAAGGGTAAAGCAAAGAACAGAGCTATCAACATCGACTAGATTAACTTGAACTTGCGTCAGCAGGTCTTCCAACTTCTGACATTGTTCTAGAGTGAAGATGCCAGAAATTGTGAGGATCGTTGCGCCCCGCAGGCAAATCGCCTCACCCGGTGCGAAGGCTGACACACGACGAGAAGACAAAGGAGACAAGTAACTGTCACTAAAATAAGGGGAAGTGTCAGTTATATAGCAGCAAGCAGACGTTTACAAAACAGACCAAATTCAACTCACTTTGCAGGATAGACGCCAGCAGCCATCTGTTGAAGAGTGGAGTGCGCGATGCGAGCAGATTCGTGGTCGACCGAGGAGCCCGATGGATGATCGACAGAGGAGTTAGCTTCAATGAATCGCGGGACTTCAGCTCCGGCCTCTAGGTTGCAAACCTCCACTGTCGGGATAGCCTGAAGGCAAAGTAGTGTAGAATCTTCGCCTGTCGTCATGGTGCCATTTACGGAATCACCATAAAGAAAAGGAGTCAAGTAAACTCAAAATAATGTTATAAACTACACTTGATTACAAGCTTCCACAATATTAAATTTATTTGATCAAAGTTTCCGATTGGAGAACTTACAATGCGGAAGTCGGGGGCCAGGAAGCGGGCCAAGGAGTAGGGATGCGGTGCCTCTGGCAGTCCTCCATTCTCAACTCGCGTCCAGTCGATATTTTTGTTCACCGCCCAGCGCACCACGCAGGGTCCAGGTGGGCGTCGAGACGTGACCTCTTCACTATTGAAGAAGTTACGCAATCGCATATGGGCGTTGTCATTGCGCTTGAAGGTCGGCCAACCCAGATGAATGTTAAAGTCTACGCAAGGCGGCGAAAAGCACTTAATCGAAGGCAGAACTCCTAAGAGCCTCAATTACATTACGATTCGATCTTAGGCAGGCCACTATCATCGGCGCGTCTTCGCGAGTAAGAAGACACGCAGAGAAGGCCTGAGCCCTGCAAAGATAGGCCTGGAACTAGTCCAGCACACCGGTTATTCCACCGGAGCGTTATTTTCCTTACTCATTAGTTTAAGGCGTAACCGAGCAGTCTTCGACTCGCGGCCGCCAACTAAAAGGTCACTTGCACATATATACTTAAAAATGTCGACAAGCCAACTCACAAGGAAGCAAAATTTGGAATTAGCCTCGAGGCTTATAAAAGAAATCCAGACTTAAAAATGGCATACAGATAACTTTATCTTCTACTATCACAGAAACAAAGGCATATTTACGGGCAAAGCTTATATTGCTAATATAGTTATAAGTAGGCGAATGAAAAGAATATGAGAAAGACTTACGATACATTTTTCGGTTGTTGCACATAAACTTGACACCTGCCAACCCAAAGGCGGAGTAGACGGAAGCCGACATATTGATGGTAAGCATGTCTGGCAAACCAAAAAGGCAGGTAAATTTATCACAACCACCGAACTCATTTACAATGTCAATATACTATAGGGTAACAACAGAGTCGCTGCTTACTTTTCCTAACGAAGACCTCCAGATCATTATGATGAGCCAAAGGAATGATATCAACGACACCTAAAATAAAGCAAATGCCAACACTGTAAAAATTTGGATGAAAGCAGGAAAGCATTGCCAAATTGGGAGTTGAAGCGTCGACCATGAAGCATGAATCCTAAGTGGAATAAATCGAAATGGCCAAACAGAAAGACAATAAGCAAAAACTACAAAAGCGGAAAACACCAAGGTACTATGATGCCGCATACAAAGAGCCCAACAAAATTAGAGACAAACGAAAGCAGTTCACGTAAATGATAGTGATACAAAAATACAGCAATGGACTACAAGTCGACGGTAAAACAGAGTTCAACTAAAATCAGACCAAACCATGAAGAGAAAGTAGAAGAAAGAGAACCTCTATGGCAAAATCCAGCAATGAAGTCGTCGTCCACGAGGCAAGAGAGAGGCAATGAAGGTACCAAGTAGTTTTGTAGTTGCAGTTCTGTGATTCCGTCACATAACTTTGCTTCCTCAAGTTGTGGACTAAGAACAATAAAAATCTGAAAAAAAATGCGCCTAAGAAACTGACAACGATAGCACCTTTGAGGCAAAATCCATTGCTTTTGCGGTCCGACCCGACCCAATGTAATAAACAGAACGGAGAAAACAGCAGTAGTAGGCGTGAAAATGTGAAATGAAAGTTCGGCTGGAATCCGGAAGACAAAAGTCGACCCTGGAAACACGAAAAAGTGGAGAATAAACGCCACACCCACTGCTGATTGGTTGAAATGTAATTTTGAAAATTTAGACAGTATAAAACAAAAAACGCAAACATCAAGAAGTAATAGAAACGATAAAAACTAAACAACCATAAAGAACGCAAAAAGCATCAACGTGTAAAAGTTAGCAACATTTAGTGGGTTAAGAAAGCATAACTTGGCTCTTCCCTGTTGCGATGCTAGTCGGGTGACCTGAACGTAGCGTCGCGAGGCTCCCCGCTAGGTGGAAGTTAGATATATGCAGAGAGCGGGATAAAAGAAGCATTTATGTATAGTTAGGCCCGAAGGTCAGCTCACGCGCACAAACGCTAAATCATTTTTATGGTTAAAACAACTTAAAACGACAACATTCATAGCAGTAATATATACTAGTTTGTTTAGGTAGACTTTTATAGGAGAGAGGCAGGATCCAACTGGGAACGCAAATCACATGCGCAGGGATGGTGAGGAGTCTCTCCAATTGTTACCTCCTATTCGGCTCATCTTCATCCCAATATCCATTCTTCCTGTAACACATGCCAACTAAATCATCTGCAACCACCCCTTCCTTAAAGTCCGAGAGTCAAGGGCAGGCGGGTAGGCAGGCGGATCTTATAATAATTTTTGTTAAAAACAAAATAATTTTTGCTCGCACAAAAGCTTTACATTCTACAGACTAAAGACCACAAATTATTAATGGTGTAGCGCATCAAGCACTTCCACTAACCAGAAAAATATATGAAATTAATCGAATTGTACGCATCATAGGAGTGCAAGACAAAGCTGCGTCTATTTTGGCCTAAAGGCTACCATCACCTACAAAGACAAGGCGAGTACCCAAGTAATTGCCACAGAATCGTTAGCTAATCGTTAACTACTTCCAAGATCGAACGTTAGGAATCTGGTCTCCGGCAGACAATGAAGAGGGAGGGGAACATCAACCACATTTCCGTACCTAATATGACGCTTTGAAATGCCACATGGACGCACTTAGAGGAACTCCGGTGCTCAACTTTTCCAGATCGTTCTTGGAGATGTCTCTTCAGTTGTAAATAGCTTGTCTCTGCAACATGGGCACAAAGCGGAGCCGAATATAGGCACCATTATCGAGCCTTTAATTGCGAAGACTTTGGAGAATCTCACTCCCGAAATATATGCGCCTACTCCACACCGTGGATATGTGTCATGCACATTAAGCATTAGGATTGGAGTTGTAAGAGACATGTGGGGTTCACTCTGCGGTGACATCAGTGTGGCCTGTCAAATCTTCTCACTAGATGGAAAAAAACATAAAGTTGGGTTAAATGCATGTAGTCAAGGAGAAGAGGGCAGAAAGGATGGACTAAGGGAAGGGATTAATCCTCAACTCGGCTTCCTGGACAGCCACCTGTACAAGATCTGGACGAATATTAATGTCAACAACGAAGATTGCATTTAAGGCTACATCTTGTTGAATTGATTTACTGAGCAGGCAATACGAGGCGGCTAAAGATTCGAAGAACAAGAGCTGGAGCAAATTACACTTTACACGAATGCTGACTTCATGGATGCAGTTATCCGATGGCAAGCTGTGTCCAATACTTCAGAATAGAGTGATTTTGAAGTCTTGGTAGCTTCGTTTAAGCGCAGACTCGCACATACTCATAGCAGTAGTTAGGGTGGACATTCTGGTTTGCGCATTAGCCACCTGCATCACTTATTCGCGGATTGCAGTGTGTGGGTGGAGTTTAGTGACAATGGACGCGAAAGGTAGGTGAGGCAACTGTGCCACAATCGTATCCACCTCTGGACGCCGTCTGCTCTACTGATATCGTTGCAGTAGTAGTTGCATCGGCCCAGAAAGCCACAAAGACAGCCAACCGCCTTTCCTCTGCCGAAGAAGTCGATGTTATGAGGGGAACGAATGTGTACGAATTTCAGACCACGGACCCTCATTTTTTCTCGTTTTCTTTTATTCGTTTCCAATCGGATTCTAACTCTCTTATATCGCTTGCAGGTGACCCCTTTTGTTACTTGCATATCCTTAATCAGTGTTATTTTACACTCCATCCATCCCCGCCTTGTTTTGCATTTTCTGTCCTTAAACATGTATTTAGACTTGATTTTTGTCCTACTTATCAAGGTTAGTATTAGTTTTAAAACAAGGTGATTTAAATAATATTTTAGTCATCATAACCTTCATCCGCTTTGCCTTATAATGGACGCCTCTGTTGCGTAAGCGGCTTAAAAAATTTGGTTACGTGAAATAATTTATTAAATCTGCAGGCCTGAGTATATAAATCTGTAAACATTATAACATATGTATTTTGTCGGCTCCTTAATCTTGCTTTAGGCAAACGGTTTCGCATCGTTCTACATTTTTCTAGAAGGAATTGTTTGATCGTGTGTCTTATTCAGGTGTAGTTAAACAATGTAAATTGCGAATTGTTAAGCAATTTTACTAATGTGTCTAGCGATGATGGTAATGATGCTTCCTTTTACCTCGTTCTTATTCATTGTTGGTTTTGGGACCATTCGTCCTTGAACCACGAAATTAAAGCACCTCGGTTGGTCAACTTCTCTGGTAATAAATTACTTGTCTTAACACCAATATCTTGAATGAAATTGGTTTACTAGCGGGAATTTTTGGTAGCCACTAACTTCTTGAAGCAAATGTCCTAGGCGTATGCTTTATCTCTATCCTTAATCTTCATGTCTTTTTATCATTCCTCCTCCCTTCACACGTGCACACTTGAATAGGCTATTTAACATCCTCCTTTATCACGTAATCTTTACATTTTGTGTACTTTGTATATGGTTGCAGGCTAAAATATGGGTGTGCATCTTGTCATTTTTGTGACATGCTAAAACGTTATTTTAAGGGTGTTATTGTTGTGTCGACGGTTTAGCATTTTCGTATTCGGTTGTAAGCTCCCGCACTTTGTTGGCACATTGTATGCTCTAATGCATGGCTACTTGGAAGATATTCGTTTCTCACCTTAGAAAAATTGGACAACAATACTTTTAAAAACAACCTATTTTATGCCTTTGAAATTATATTTTTTTGTCATTCTGGTCAATTTTAGATGCATGAGTGTGGATGATCGAGGTTCAATGGAGTCCCTTTTGGATCCTTGTATATGTCGCATACCGAAACCACAGAAAAAGTCTCCCTTTACTAACGGTTCCCTGCCTCACATCCCTCAAGAGGTTGAAAGCGAATGCCTCTCACATATTCTTACTTTGGTTGAAAAGACTCTCTTTACGTGGGCGGACTGGTCTGTCGTCTTGCCACCTTCTCAACTCACTCCAAATCTTAACAACCGAAATGAGACTCCTGATGTTGGCTCTCTATTTGTACATCAAGATTTCGAGGAGTATCAGGTCCTTGCTAAGGATGAACAGCACAAGAGTCGTCGTTTAAATTCTAAGCAATTGTTGCAACTGCGCAATTATGGTCGATTTGATGTGGAGAGTAGGGACTTTCCTGGCCATCAGCACAGTTGGCACATCTGCAGTGGCTTGCAGAAGGGCAGAGTCCGAATTCTAGCCACTCTCAGAAGTGTATGTTCACTCTCCTCTCTTTATTACTGTCCTAATAGGATTTGCGCAAAGCGCTAGAGTATCTGGCGATCGGAGCAAGAAATCGTTTTATTGGAGAATTCTTCAGCACAAAAGTGGCCATCTTTGCATTTACGGATTTTCTTCGAATGCTTCTGGGTGAGTGTCATTTTTTTGGAGGAAAATAACCATCAATGAAGTACATTCTCAGCCACTTTAGTTTGATTGCGTGAACGCGTCTGTAAAAATACTGACAAAATCCCTTTAATAAGTATTTAGTGCATTACATATGTTGCATATTTGCCACATGTTTACACGTCTGAAGGAGTGATAAACGTCTGTTGCCTAATGTGTTAAATGCGCGAAGGGCAGAATCATACTAATGGCTTGTCGACGCCCGTGATAGTTTCAGAAATTATTTAAGCAAAGTAAGGCCGTGTTTTGCCACCATAGCATATGTGCCTTTTGGTTTCTTATTTTCCTAAAACATAAAGGAGACCTTTCAGCCAAATCCATGCTAGGTATTGCGTCACACTTGTGTCTTAATGGCATGATTTGTGAGCGGTTGTACTTTGGATACTTGGATAGGCATAAGGCACCAGTTGTGAATAGTAATGGAACTACATTGCCGTTTATTTTGTGATCCCGGAGGCTTAGAAGTTGGAAATAAAGGGTTGATGTTTGGATCAATGCATGTGCCTATGGTTGGAAAGCCAAGCAATTAGGTACTACGCTAAAATTTTTTTTGGCAGACTGGAAATTATTAAATAATTAGTGCTTCACACATGATTGGATAAGGGCTTGTCAAAAGGAATGGCGATGGAACCCTGTTAAAATGCGTCGTTTTCTCGATTGTTCTTCCAGTTTGGCCTAATGTCATGGCTTGAATCCAAGTTGACTACTATGAAAGTATACCAATGTCTACTAAGGCATCAATTGCCGTATAGATTGGTATTACTGTTAATCCTTAAAGAACCATGGGAAAGTTGTTTTCCTTCAATTAGGAAGGAGGACATAAGTTGCTTCCACTCTACTGGGGTCCAAAGGCACACACAATTGCATGTTCGCAATTTGCGTACAAACAACAGAGAAGCTCCTTTTCGTGATCAAGGTACACTTACGATATAACATTCAGAAGGTTCTCCGACTGATTGTTGTCAACCTCGCTTGGTGCATCACTATGCCCAATAACTTTTGTGTCGAGGTTAGATTGCACTAAGAGAGCTGTATTGTTCCAACTATCGATTTTTTGTATTTGCACTTCTCTTTACGCCGCGACTGCACCTCTGGTTGCTCGATAAGTTGACTGTCAATCAAATGTGACCTTTTTCCTCAGTACTTTTGACCTCTACTGAAAGCGTCTCATTTTGTTGCCCAAGTATCGCTTAGTGAACACTGCGAAGACTCTTTGATAAACGCATCTACGACGCTCACAATTTTAAACGTTCCATGAGGCACAACTTTTTGAAGTTCGGTTGGTTCAAGCGCATGTCGGATATAAGCAACGGGCTTAATTGGCTTGCCTTCATTCAACTGCCTTAATAGCTCAACAAATGGCGGGAAGACCACGTCTACCCAAGGACAATGGGACAAGTTAAGACATGTTAGCTAGTAGAGCCCTGAGGGAGGGTTAACTACTGCGGTTGTATGGGCTCTTCCGTGTCTGCGTTTTTGTTTTGAAGTTAACATATCCCCTCACATAGAACTTTGTTCCCAATTTTCACGCACACCTCCGTGATCGCGGATGTGCCTAGTTTTTGCAGTGAAAGTGCTTGTTCATTGAGCTACTTCCCATTGCAACAAAACCGCACTCTAAATCTTATTATCTAAACGTTTTGGGGACCTGAGCATTGGTGACCTATTCCCAGAAATAGTATAAGATGTCAATCAGAAGTTGAACCTTTTTGAGTTCATAGAGAGGAGCACTTCACTCCCATGAAATGACTATTGCCATTTTGACAGCTGCTCAGCCGAGGATAGGTGAAACCCCTTGCCAAGCCATTCTCAAAATGCGTTGTAAACATGTCTCCATTTTAACTGCACACACACGCAGGGTAAGGAGAGTGCTTATGTAACATGCTCGTGCCTCCACAACTGCTCACGCTCAACGCCTCAAGCACTAGCGCCCTGCCCAAGGGCAATATTGATTGGTCCGGGGAAAGGGCGGACGGGCGAGAGAGGCTGCTAAAAATAACCAATGCATTACCATCCACACCCATCCCCTGCCAGCTACTACCCTCTCATCTGGTATCCACTATAACCGGCGTGAAGAGCCTCCTCAATGCAACTGGTCGAGCCTAGACTACTCGGCTATCCCTCACACCATCGAGGTCTCGATGAAAGAAACTTGCTTGCTTCAACTGAAAACTGTCTTTTGCTCAAACATGAATAATACCGTCTTACATCGGATATATTACTTTGCACTCAACGTAACTGTTTGCGGCACGATTGGGTGCAATCATTTATTACAACCTGATAAAGCACAGATGCCACAAACATGTGATGCTGACAGTAAACGTAATTGATTGGAACTGACATCGAAACGCTGTTTGAACACGCAAAAGTTATGCCTACCTTGCTTTGGCTCGACCATGAAGTTGTGTTAGGCGTCGTTAGCAGGAAAGCATTGTTAGTGAAGTGCTGAAGAATGGTGGAGATGAGGACTTGAAAGTCATCTGGTTGAAGTTGAGTTCATCAACCACGCTACACCACAACAATGCCTGCCTTCTAGCACTTTCTTTAATTGTTTTTCACCAGAGGCGTCTCGCTGGGCTTAAAGCTTCGATTCAGTAATCCAACTTTGGGTTTCATTGCCTCTACGTGGGCGTTGAGTGCATTTGGGATGCCCTAGTTTCGGCGTTGTGTCACCAAACAGTAACGCAATTTTACCGGGTCGAAGTAGTACTTTAACTTGGTCTCTTAACCTTCGATTGACAGTAATCACACACTTATGGCTGCAAATCGCACTCTTTTCAAGGGAACTTCCCTGCTCTCACGGGTTGATAAAATTTGTCATTACCATGGTCTTTCGCGTTTTTTTTTGTTTCTTTCGGTGCTATATTGCCTTGGCAGCTAAAAGCAGGCTGGTGCTAATGTGGTAAATCTTTACAAATAAAATGCTTTCCGTTCGTAGTGAAGGGGTTATTTTTATGTATTGTAGTAAAATTTTCTGCTGTTTTTTCCTTTCAAATAGACACATAAAAGCGCCACAAGGAGGACGTAAGATCAGGAGCTCTGGCTTGGTTACAGCTAATCTTTGCCATTTTACATTCGAGTTGTAGGGATACCTGTTTCATTTGTAAAATGTATCCGGTGTGGCAAGATTTTGTTGCCAAACAGCCACCTCGTTTGGTCCTTTGAGACCGCAGTTATTATGCACACCCGACAGCTCCAAATGATGGAGTTGAAAGGGGATAGTGAATGGTCGCTACACACATATTAATCACGATTAAAGCCTGAAATAAATGTATCATCTTCATTTATAGTTGGTTTATGATATATTGTAGATCTGTTGGTCGGATTGCCGCATGTTCACCACGAGGATATCGACAGGCGGCTCTTGGAGGAGCGGTTAGAGTTCATCACCGGCGATCTTACCGTTAAGGTGCGTCTCTCTTCAGCACTATCATCCTCTTCGACCCTTTTTCTCTCTCTCGCTCTCCTCGTGAGCTTTGTGCGGTGTGAAGCACTAACTTCTAGAACACTGGCAGCAATCAAAACAGCATAAAATCTACCTTTGTATGGGTAAATGTCATTCAATCACCATTTGGCTCATTCATGGCTTCCCTTTCATTTACTAAATATCCATAAGGGACACTCGAGTGAAATTTAGAGGCTCCAACTAACACATTAACACCTTTATTAGAAATTGTTTTTGTTTCTCCCAAATGTGTGTCGAAGTTGGACGAAAGAACGTTATTTTCAGGATTTTTGCAACCTTCTGCGACTCCCTTGAAGACAAAACTGATATTATTGCCTTACAAAAGGTATTTGAGTTAGCATCATCGGTCAAAGGCAAAGGGTAGAACAAAAAAAGCGATTCAGCCAAAAACTAAAGAGCGAAATTTACGTAACAAGTCATTGCATTGCATTGGTGGCTGTGATTTTAGGGTGCTCAGCGGCATCTCTTCGTTTTCGAAAGCAGGGACAATTTTAGCAGCATGTTGTAACTTGTGGTGACTTATCGCAAAATGGTCTTAGCTGAGAGCGCTTAAGCCATCTCATGTTTAGCAAGCGGTGTAGTGCACCACCACCGTAAGCCTTTGTGGATAGCGTACGTGACACGATTAAATTCACGTTTTCTTTCAAGTCCCCACGTTTGGAGTTCGGTGACTTTAAACTCCTTTTTGGATTTTTCACACAGACCCAAAACCCCCGTGGTTCGCATCGCTTTATGGCATGACCCTGTTTGGAAGGCAGTGAACTCAACACTACCAAACACAGGAGGCGTCATAAAACTCAATCATGCCTTCTGACCACTCCAAAAAAGGGAATTTAAGTTTTATTTACATGAACTATTACCAGCAGTGATCAGTGTTGTTTTTAATGAAATAGGATGGACAGCATTTTTGCTGTAAATGATTCAAGATGGGTCAAAAATGACCTTTGCATTTAGCTGAGGGACAAATTTAAAGTGTCACCGACGATTCTACCTCTCGATTGTCGAATAACCATTGGCTAGACTTTGAGACATTCTCATCAGTGATAAATGCTCACGAAAGGGAGAAGTGTGAGGTGCTTTTCTGATGGTGATGGGAAATGAGGTGGTTAAGTGAGCAGTATAGGAACAGGTCTTGAAACACCGATTCCCCAGTTGACCTTCTTCACTGCTCCTTCATTTTGGCCAGCATTTGCCAATCACCGGAAAGTGATTTTTTATGCATTCATCTGTCAATTTCATTTTCCTTTCATCCTCGTATGAGGAGACATTCTATTCGGCGATTTTTTGTCTCCGGGCAATGCAAATTCCTTCAGGCTAAACATATTCTTCTAGTTAAATAAATAGGTAAGTAATTCTCCAGGCTTCATCTTCACTCGCTATGATTTAATTTGACCCTTTGCCGCATTACTACTACCTCGCACTCTCTCAATCAGGTCAATTAGCCTAAGTTTGATGAGATTCAGGCGGATAGTTGTGGAGAGACCACGTTAGAACGACGTGAATGAGCGAAGCAAGTGAACGTTAGTGGGGGCCGCTTGCTATTCTGTAGAAACACCATTATGAGACTCGGGCTTTCCACGTAGTAGGGCAAAATCACACATTCACCATTTCGTAGGGTGATGGATAGCCATAAATCCCATCATTTACCATATTCTGACCACGCCAACTGTCAATATAGTTTTATTTTCTCGTCTCACATCACAATTCCCACGGAAGCACACCCTTATAGAATTATAGCCCTCAACACTTACAAGTTGGAGGGGAGAGAGTGGGTAGGGGAACTGGAGAAGACAAGTTCTACTGGCCTCAAGCTTACATTGAAACCTCAAAAGAGGATCATGCAAGTCAAGGGCCTTAGTCCCATTCGATTTGGCTCAAAAGAGCTAAATGGTGGGATTTTTCTCGTGTAATTTTGTTATTAGTAATGGTTTCTGGAAGGTTCTAAAGCCGCTGCCAAAATGGAATTGCCATCAACCAGCTTTCCTAGAGTAAGTGTCAATAAATAGACCATGTCAACATGCTAGCAGGCGGATTCACAGTCCAGAGGATGGTTGTGTTACTACTTTTGTATGCATTCACTCACCAGCAGTGCTTACATAATGTCAATGCGGGTGTGATCGTGTGTGTTTTTATGCGCACGACCACGCGCCACTCTTCTAGATCTCGCTAAGCGCACACACCTAAATTATTTATGTGTTATGCTCCCCTGCTGCATGTTACACTAGTCATAAAATTGTCGAATTGAAAAGGCAGGACATCATGAGCTCCTATGCCTCACAGGAGGGGAAGAACTCTCCTCGACAAGTAGCTGGACATTGGAGAGCAATCAAGACCTGAGGTGTGGTAGCGAAGAATACGCAAGTTACACATTAGGTACGTCTCTAAGTCCTCTCACAATTTAAGTTCTGTTTGCGATATGACACCAATCAGAGGACAACTGCATCAGTTCGTCCAGTCTCGCAGACTCGAAATGTCAGCTTGCATAGGTTAAAATTACATGCACAAACGGTTGGCTATAGTGGAATATGTTTCTTCAGTTCTCTCTCCCCTCTTCGGAGATTTGAATGCATTTTCGTGCAGAGGGCATTACCATTCTGTCTGAAAGGTAGGCAAAAATGATTAATTGGAAGCAGACATTTCGATAATGGTGTTGTGACGCTTTTGCGGACGCCTTGGGGCATGGAACGTTTCACCACTCATCCAGTGGTTTCATAAAAGGTCAAGTATTTTGAAAGGACTAGTTTAATAGCAGCATCATTTGTGGGGAAAAGAACTCCCCACTCTGGCGGTACGTGGAATGAGTTTCAATGAGGAAGTTAAAAGTGGTGGAAGAAATGCATCTTCAAGTCATTTATTACCGCAACAGAATGCTTAGCTTTTATGGCTTGCACGTAACTTTTGCACCAGATGAGTCACTACTTCATTGAAACGATGTGATCTTCCCAAAAAAGTTGATTTGCCTGGTTTAGAGGATGTTAAAAACACTACTGTCTAGAGAAGCAGAGGTGAGTGGCTGGTTGCATTGTATTTTTGCGCTGTAGAATGCAATTTGGTGTATAACTGGCCGAGCGATTTGAAACACGAACATAACGCCTTGGTGAAGTGTGTTGTCGCAGACTAGACTGACCAAGGAAAGTACAAATGAGAAGCTTCTAAGTTACCCATTACTGGAATCGAACACCACCCGCAGCACTTCGCTCCGTCAGTCGCCGATTGCTACAACGAATTCGAAGTGATAAGGCAGCATGGACGAGCCACTGACTAAATTTCCATACGACTGAGAAGATAGTTGGTCGCAAAATCATCAACGCATTGTATCAGGTCTACTTTATCTGAAATTTTGCCTCGCGATCAGCAGTCGCACTGATCTGCATACAGTCATTTGATGAAGAATGGTGCTTAGGTTGGTTTCGTGAGGCACAGTTTCACATCGAGTTCTCATTACCAATGTTTCCATTTCAGGGCTGTCCAGCCCTATTCATCTGGGTTGTAGCCGCCTAAAAGGGAAGTAAAGGAGGCATCGCAAGTTTGCAACGTTAGCATCTCCATGAGGCTATGGAGATAACTCAGTAACGAACTTCTTATTTGTCGCTAGGGTGTGTTGCTTCAGTGGCCCTCTTACAGATTACTAAAAAGAAGTACATGCTGGAGGCAGACCTCATTTTTGACCCTTCTCTTAGAGGAGAAGACCAATTCTCCCATTTGAACCATCTGTTCTTCAGCTGCCGCATTTGGATTTGACGTCTATTGGCAGAATTTCTGACTATTGTCTCTTTTCTTGAAACGAAAGAAGACATAATGTTGAGCCAGATCGTCTGGCAGAGCAACTAAGTGATCCGCTCATCAAAACTGAAAAGTAAACCAATTAAACATTACAAAATTAATGGATTTGTAAGTAAATCCAGTTGTTATCTTTGCGTTATTGTTTGGCAAATGCATACAGTAGATATCTGCTAGGAATGACCACAAAATTTTATGACTGAACAGGCTACTTTCTCGTTCTCCCACATGGAGTTGGTGCTGACTTTGCATAAAATGCATTGGAAAGACGAGATTAACTATTCCCACGTAAGACCTCCTTCAAGCGCATAAAACTTCCAATTTTGTTGTGATCACAGTCGTCTTACTTCCTTTTGATCTTTTAGACTGCAAATCGACAAGTCCTGGAAGCTTTCTGGAGCTTTGCTGAACGCGTGTCTTATCTACCTGAAGATATCAATTTGGTGAGTTATTACTCCGAGATCATCCGTTTGGTAAATTAACTGTGGAAATCTCAAAGTTGCATGTATCATTTACTCACAGTCAAAATCGTTCATAATTTCGCCACTAAAGTGAATCCCAGTCAAGAAGGAAAAAAGTCCTCCATGTGTAATGCATTGTCTGCCGTGCTGCAATGAGTGCTGAAAGGTGGAATCGGGTTGTAGAACAAATACGCATTTCTCTCTTCTCGTGGGCGCGGATAGCCATCGGACATGTATTTCTTGCTAAGTTCCAACACCACGGCCCATTAGCATACACACGTGCGCAGTTGGGGCGGCACTTGATACAGACCTTTTTGAACTGTAGGTTCTTCTCTCCGATGCCTTAAGTTTAGTGCCAAATGGATTTTAGCGATAGTCTTTCACCTCTGTAAATAAACAATAGGTTACCCAAAGAATTTTCGGATGAACATAAATGTGCTTGGAATTTGAATGTGAGACTTTTTTAAATGGCTGTTGAAAAGGGGATTTTCAGTTTGTCATGAACGAAAGACATGAGTCGCCATGGTTTATGGTCTAAGGGTCCATTTACTTTTGGGGGTATTCATCGGGTGTTATCATCCCTGTACTGTGGGGAGGACAATAATTAGGAAAGATGGGTTAACTCTTATACTGCCTCCATCATACACGAGGTTTGTGTCCCATTTCCGTGGAGTTATGTTTACAAAGCAGTCCTTACATTGGCGAGTGTAGTGTACTACGGATAACGTAGGGTCCAGTAGTGAAATTCACATCCTTCCAACGGTATACACTCCATTGAGGAGGTTCACGCTTGTACTAGGAAAGTGGGTATGAAAAATAGCGGGTCTCGTCAGTTAGGATGGAAACTAGGAGGGACAAAGACTGACCAGGTTAGGATTGAAAGCTTCATTCAGTTGGAACTCAGCTTTACAAATGGGAAAGGTTCATATAGATGCTCGGTAGAAATCGCAGTATATCAAACCCACAAGATCTCTGATTTTGCTTCCTTTTCTTAGTTGTGGTGCGCTTGATATCACACTTTCACCTGTTCTAATGATTGTTTTTGAACTCTGGTAGCACAAACCCTCATTGAAAGTGGAAGTCATGTGCACTATCTGGTGGTAAGGATGATGTTGGTTTTTAGGGACAGGAGAATCAACCACCGCCACCACCATTCGCTTTCATCACGCCCTCCAAACTGCTCATTGATCTGCGAATCTACGACAACCAAGTGTTGGAGCGCTGCCTGGTTGTGATTAACCAGTTGCGACAGGAGGTCCATGACAATTGGTTTGAAGAATTTAAAAACAACCTCTACATTAGTCTCAAACGTAAGTGGACCAAATTTTTGCCTTCATTTTAATCATTGCGCCATTCACCCTGAGGCGCGGAAGCAGTGTTCGGGCCCTGACTTGTAAAGTGCCACGCGTTCAGACATGGTTAATGTCATTTCACTGTCGCATTTTGTCGCAGGCGCTTACGCAACGCAACCGACTTTTTTCCTTCGCCTACTGAGTATGTTGACGATAATTTACGGTCCAGCAAAAGGGAAACACGCTTGAACTGTTCAAGGTGAATGAACTTTGAGACGAGGAACGTAAACAATTGTATTGATGTAATTGTGGATCTTGTGTGTGGATTGGAGCAAAATTTCCGAAAAGTGGATTAAACGTATAACACCTATGGGACTAATGTTAAGCTCTGCTTAGGACTTACGAGGCTGTGGTGGCTGAGACGACATTAAAATGTCTTTGTGAAACTATTTATGTTGACCTGATGCCTTGCCTTGTCAAGATAGTTTAATTTTCTCTCACCATTTTGATTAAATATTCTCCTCGTGGCAAACCTTTAACAAATATTATGTATGTGTGTTTTTCCATCCCTCAAATTTACTGCCTAGTTTTTTGTTTACTGTTGATACTAAACAACGATGATTGACATTCATTTGCCTTCGACTTTGACAAGCCTTTGTTTATTGGCTCATTTTATGTGTCAGAAAGCGAGTCCAGCGCCAAAAGCGGGACTGAGTAAATGAAGTAAATCTTCTCTTGAAGACGAATCAAAACCTCATCGCTACATTTGAGTCGATGATTCATCGATGCTTAAGCTCCATATGTGCCTACAGTAAGGCTTGAGACATTTCACACAGTAGATCCATGTTGACCGTATGCGAGTTGGCATGACATGAACCATAACTGATCAACCTCCTCCACTGGTGAGTGTGTACTTGTTCAAATGCGACAATCCCTCAGCCCTGAGTGTGGCGATTCGAAACGCGAAAAGGCGGAATGGAACCGGTCCAGCGCATCTCCCTTTTCGTCAAAACATCTGTTATAAACTTTCTCCCAGCAAAGTTCTACCACAAACAATGATGTGTGTTTTTGTTCATTTTTGTCACCTAATTGGACGGGTGTCAGGCTATTCGGTTGTGACTACGTAAACTTCACAAAAAAGTTGCCTTTTAAAGTTCACTAGGGATTCAACTTATCAAGTTACTCTCACACGGAGGATATTGTAAACTGCTGCAGGAGAAATGTCCTGTCATTAGCTTTAAAAATAGCTAGGGATTGTAAAAGTTGAATACATTTTCAGTAAATTTTTCATTTCAGGTGCCGGGAAGTCAAACACTGAGATCAAAAACGTAAGTGTATTTCACGCCTTCCTCGTCCGGTCAACATTTTCTTGGCAGATTTGGTAGGAAGATCTAAAAACTACTGACTTATTACTTGAAAGGAGTAGACAACCTTTGACAGTCAAAAGTGCTTGAATGAGTTTGATCCTCCGCTCACGATCTCCTGTGTAAAAATACGGCGAGAACATTTTCCATATGAAGGATTTACTATTGTTGGGGCTAAAAGTGAATGCACCACTCACTCACTTGGGCGGTAATTTATAGGGCCATACGCAAGTGCCTTCAATGTTTAAAGTCCACTGCTCACGCTAGTCGGTGAAATAGCCTTCGCGGGTTCAAACATTTACGTCTGCCTTTTAAAGGTCGTATTAAAGGAGGCAAAGACGAGAAAATGTGTGTTTCTTCAAAAGCAAACTTTGAGCGTCAAGATTACACAACAACTAGTCGGAAATTCTTTGCAATTTCCTCCTGTCAGAGGGCGCAGAGGATGTGGTCTGCGTCAAACGAAACTTGGAGCAGGCAGGCGCCGTGACAGGAGGTGGACTCATTAAGGGAGGAGTGAAACCTCGATTTGGCCACTGTAATCACACTAGAACTGACTAATCATAAAAGTGGGACTGTTCTTGTTGCGCATTTTTGCAAGAAATAACCCAAAGAAGCGGTCTGATGTGAGACGTTGAAGGTATTTTGTCGCAACAGAAATGTATTCACCCTAGGCCACCGGTATGCGGCCTAGGGTGAGTAAAGCAAATTTTGGTCCTTTTTTTAAAAATGTGTACTTGACCTTTAGATTATATGCGCCCGTGGGCTGAAGGAGTACGCGAAACGGCTTTTTGAGGCGATGAGGGAGAACGAAGCCCTTCAAGCAATAAGTCCAGTCATCGGTAATGCGCTCTTCTTTCTGCTCCTCCCTTTTTTTAATGCATTATTCTTGTTAGTACTTTGCATTTTTAACTCAAATTTACGTTGGGAGTGAAGTCCTATCGTCATCTGCTTGGTCCCGCCCAAAAAAAGCATGGCACTTATTCCTGATGGAGAGATTAGTTTACTAGGTAAAAAGAACAGTCTTGTAGGATTTTCTGTTTCTTTGGTCCAAACCTTGAATACGTCTCTCACACCAAAACTCCTGTTGGTGGACAAATAGTTGAAACCCTCAGTGTTAAGTAAAGTGGCCTAATAACAAAACTTTCCATAGAACACTTTTGACTTCCTTTAGTGGCTCAAATTCGTCGTTCATATGGACTGGTTGTGTTGACCAAGATGTGATGCAATAATCGGTGAATTTTGCATACATATCTATGCCGGTTAAATGGAATAAAGATATACTAGTTGCTAAAGGAATGCTAACCTTTTTGAGTGTGCTATGGACTCGAATTGTTTGTCTGAACGTCAGTGTCTGTTTATGTGGTAGAATGATGCATATTAATGTCTTTAAAGTGGTGAGAACATAAGTCACCAGTTGTTCCCTCTTTATCGTTCAAAATGCACCACGACAAGGCTCAACTGACGTACTTTTGATACTTGGCAATCGAAAGACACTTTAAATGCAGACTTTGCTGGTCAGTTGTTGCAAATTCAACACACTCTTTGAAGTCTAAATGATCTCTTCTGTTATAACAGCATCGAGTCAGAATGATAGGACTACAGTGACTCGGAATTTTTATGTACTTGTGTAAAGCCGAAGCCCTAATCCAGGAGGCCACCTTCAGCCTCGCGGTGATGGAGTCGAAAGCAAGTCTCTGTGACTCCTGGCTGGCTCATAAGGCTGCCACCGAGGAGCTCATGGAGCGGACTCATCCCATTCTCTGGGGCATTCCACAATGGAAGAAAGAACAAATGGCCAAGGTCAAGGCAGCATTTATGAAGGTAATAGATTTTTCCTCTTTTTGCAAACTATTTTCAGTTTCTTTCTTATCCTTCAAAGAACTTAGTACGAATGTTTGCACTTAGTGTCTAAGTAGAATGTAAGTATACCCACATAACGGTATCAGCTGCGAATTTGTGGAATGGTCTTTATGAGTTCTTTGTTTGCACGAAAGTAGAGGTTGATCAAGCCTATCCTCCTTCATCTTGGGTGTTTGCTTCCTCGGCCAAAGCAACCACACTGCCCATGACCTCTAAAATTTGGGGATAGGAAGTGGTAGTTCACAAAAACTTGCCTCCGCCTCCACATGGGGCCGCGCAGTGAGAATTTGGCCTATGGTTGAAAGGCCAATAATGACAGTTGAAAAAGGTCTTGCATAGGCGAGTGGGAAAAATAGCACGGGAGGGTCACAGATTTAGTGAAACACAGCTTGGAGAATCTAGTAGTTACGAGAGAAGGCGTACTCCTTGACTGGAATGTTCGCCTACGATATGTTGTAGGACCCAGGGCTTCTCACATTCTCTAGAAGCTAGTCTACTCACTGAGAACATGGTGGTAGAGGCTGTGAGTCTCATCGTTGTAGAGATCAAGCTTTAAGCAAACAGTTAACTTACTACGCGTCCCCTCCTCTTTTGAACGCTGTCCTCAGCTCTCCCTTTGGTTGACCTGCTTTGGTCCGAATAACTTATTCAGGAGGGTAAGCAAAACGCATCATTTGGCACGGATTTGAGACTGGATCAATGGGATTACAAAATAGATGTTATCCTTCGTTCTAGAGGCACTGATCCAAAGGTGGAGTCGTATGTCAAGGAGCAGAGTTAAGCATAGTTCCTTGGGGACTGGCTTCAGCGTCCAGCATCCTTCCCTTCCAACTTATTCTTGCTGCATTCTATTCCACTAATATTCATCCAATCGATAAAGAAGTCGAGGGAGTATTGTGAAGTATCTTCGTGCAGACACATTTGACAACTCTTTAAAACGTTTTTTTGTGTAGTTTCAAAATGGTTTTGCTTTAGATGTTAATTAAATGCCTACAGAACGCGATTTTGGGGTAATTGCCAAGATTTAGCACCATTTCTAGCCATTCTTTTGAGAATCGTCATGACGTTTCTCCCTCGTACGTATCGTGCGCACCGCCTTCATCCTGTTACTACATTTTATCGAGCGGCATATAAATAAGTTCAATTCTTCTGCAAGGTGAAGTCTGCTTTCTTCCACCGCCAACGCAGTACCCTGTGAGGTTGCTGAACTTCGTAGAAATCTAAGCGTGTACTGTCCTAGAGGCTACCGAAATGGTCTAGAGGCAATGCTGCATTGTAGAGTTGCAATTGTGGAGTCCTACACGATCCCTTCCCACAATCAGAAGGTTATCAAGCACTCGAAGCGTTGCTTCCAGTGTTCGAATTCACTCAGTTTTACGAAAACTACATTCAATTTTCCGAAGTCAGCAGAGAACATTGACCTCTGTTTTCGTCACAAAATGCAATAACCGTCTCTGTATCCACTGTGTAACACTGGCGCTGTGAGATCTCATAACTTGGCATTCGAGTCTCTTCTGAAAGCATGATTGTCCACATCAATGTGAGGAGTGATTGAATTATTAACTTCCCAGAGGCATTGGCAACTGTTACCGTCATGCTATTAGTGCTAAGGGAAACGGTGGTTGATGAAGCATGTAGGCGCTGGTCATTTACCTTCTTTCAGGAAGCACCGCTTCCATAACAAAGAGTCATTGCTTTCACTAGGCAACTGTAGAATTTTTGTTCCCACATTGTTCAAAGGCCATCTTTCATTCACAAATATCCAGGTGGGCACGGTTGCAATTTTTTTATGCCACCTTTGCTTGATGCGATCCAAGTGCGTAGTTTTCTCCAAACCGAGGTGTTTTTTGGGTGATGTTTGACACATTTGGCCTTCCTTTCAGGCGCATCGATTTGACGTTCATAGGTCGGTGATTGAAAAGTGCAAGGAGCTGGGCCTTCGACAATACGGATACTTTGTCAAACGCGATTTGCTCTTCCTCACTGAGGTAAGTTGTCTGCATCACAATACCTATATTGTCCATGTGCTTTATAAATGCAAGTCAGTCTGACCAAGAGTGTGTGCACACTCGGAGTGAATGGAAGCTAATGCCTTGGCTTAGAGAAGAAGAAAATCCAATCCATGAAATTTGGTTATTTCTATTGCTGATTGGCCATGCAAGAAAACCACAAATAGAGACAATTATTGACTAAAAGTTCAATTCAAATTGATAGCTGCCTGTGAATAACAAATTCTCCTTCACAGAGCGTTTGATGTCGAAATCATGACGATTTTGAGGACTTCACGAGATTGCTCCCCTGGGTTGGTGCGTGTGTTGGATTGGTGGAGGGAAGGGATGGCGGGGAAAGATTGAGCTTGGCACTGGAGAGTGGTGATAATGAAAAGAAATAAAATGCTGAAATATGGATGAGGCTAGTGCAGCAGCAACACGAGAACATAAAATTTGACAGTCAAATTATGCATGAATCTTGCTAATTGTGTTGCACCGATCACTCTCCAATGGTCGGATAGTTTTGGAACTTTCGCATTTCGATGTAGCAGTACTATTGAATTATGATGGCAACGGAAGGGGAGGAAAATGCAAATAGTGTTGACTTTGACGAATCGTGGAACACTTTTAGCACATCATAGCATCATTTACAAAAGAATTATGCTAGTGTTGACCTACTTGTAGTCTATCCTTGAAAACGCTCTATCCCACAAAACGTCATTGAACGCGGCGATCTTATACGACGAACATGTTCCGCTTCAGACATCGACATATACTATTGGTCAATTCGTCTCCTGTAGAGATACAACAGAGCAGAGCATTCTCGAAGCGCCGTGTTTTGAGCAGGCACCCATTACATTCCAATGACTACCATATTCAGTGGGGGGAGGCGGGAGGGCGAGGAAGGAGAGCAATGTTGACAATGGGAGCTTATCGAAGTGTTTCCAAACCTCTATGATATTCGCGACCAGTTATTAACTACTACAGTTACTAACATCTGTCCTCCATACGAATTGTAGTCCACAGCAGGAACACCCCAGCTTTTTTATGAGCGGATAAACCACTGACATTATAAACATGCGACGGTGGTAGCAACTGAACTAATAAAAGTAGTGTTGTTATTGGCCACAATTTTTAATGTAGTCATGTGCTTCATCTCGTATTCATGGAGTGGCGATTTAAGGTGGCTACTGCAGCTATATAGGCAATAAAAGTACAGTTAGAGGTTGGCAAAAGTTTTCCCTGGCTTTTGAGAAACGTTGTAGAAAATGAAAGTGGACATTCATGCTTGCATAAAAAGGAACAAACGAATTGTAAAATATGCTTGAAATGCTGACGCTTCGTTGTAGTTATTTTCAGTGGAAGACATAAGGAGAAAATTGCGCAAATCTTTTGCATCTTGTGAAGTTCTTGCGTATTTAACTTTACGAATGGCTTGTCAAGACTTACCCGAGGACGAGGGAATGCAATGCTAGGGCAGAATACACGCGTATGTTTGGCATACGGAGGGGATTACTACTATTGACATGACCTGGAGGGCATCCAATCTGGCGAAGGTGCAGTGACAGAGTGCCAGTTACTAAGGCAAACAAAGGAATTAACCATCAGTGTATCGCATAGGTCCTCGCCATTTGGGCGTTGCCTCCTGTGCTGGCCCTGGTCATTGTGCCATGCCAACCGCCACAACGTACTCGGTGCTGCAAGGAAATGTGTGCGTCGATCATCGAATTTGTGCTGCTGGCCCATCTCTAAAACTTCACTAGACTTGGCGTTCTGCCCTATTGAGAAATGCGCCAGAGAAGAGGAAATATGGTAGTTATCTCACTATCAAGCCACCGGCTTGAAAATGAAATCTTCCAATATAAAAACAATGTTTAACATAGATTAGTGGAAATTATGCTTCGTCCACGTTCTTACTTCGGTGCTGCCTGATCGCATCAATCTGAAGTCTGTCTGGTGAATAGAGAGGTGGAGGAAGTGTGGTATGCTTCTCTGCAGCGAACCTTTTAGCTGATCCAAGACTGATGGAACCTCAACGTATCACTAGCATTCCAATAGGCAACTGTTCTGCTGGAGAACTTCACCAGTGCCTCGTTAGCATCACTCACCCTTCCCTTTAGTACTTGATACTTGAAACAAAGGTGGTGATGCTCTGGGCTTGACAGTGCTTTCTTTTATCGCCGATTCAGTAAGTTGAAGGTACCCTGAAATTGGGAGGAGATCGTGTTTGGGTTGAATGTGCATTTCACACGAGCAGGAAGAGTTGAAGATGCGCTATCCAACTGAAATGCCCTCGAAACTGGAAGCTAAGCAAATAAACGAATGACAATCGAAATTTTGAGATCGGTTTCATCATCCTAATTATTTGGTACGAACTTTAAAATTCGAAACGGATAGGGATGTAAAAGTTGCTTCAAAATTGGTGGCTCTTTAGTGCCACTCAACATCGATTTCCATGTGAAGCATAATTGTGGAATTATGGGGAAAAAATGACAATTAAGAAGCAAAAGCGTCATTCAGGTACAAATTACACCAACAACACGCTTCTCACTGCTTGCAGGGCAAAATTGCAAAAAAAGTGGGTGTTTACAGAAGGCATTCATGCTACGGTGTTTGTTCTGTTGAACTAGAATGCATCCCAAAAAGCAAACAAAAGCTTTCAATCATTTGCAATTTTGTGAATTCGAACGGATGCGATTATTTAAATTGAAACATTTACTGTGAAGCGGACCTGGTTGCAAGCCTTCCCAACGCTTATTAGACACTAAATTGGTGTTATTATTGCAAGAGCAATTAAAGTGACTCATTTTAAAGGAGGCGTGAAAGTTGAAAACCATTTTGCTCTTTTGCAGAGGGAGAGTAGAATACGGACGGAATTGATTAAAACGTCCATGTGTCCGGACAATCGTTTCACGCACAAGGTGTCTTGTGAGTTGATGCGTCATTGGCGCGTCTATCGTCGAGACACCATATTTCCTCACCACCAGGAACGCGTGGACGGCGTCCTTCTTCTTGGCCGTCGGTCTGACGGTGTGGTGACTGAGGCTGGATCGTCACCGGATCCCGAGCATTCCGCCCTCATACCACAACGCAGTAGCTTTGACTACTACAACATGGTGATCATAAATACTACTTTCAGTTTATAAGTAAACACGCATTTCATAATAGCGTTTGTGACAAGCACTTTTGACGGTGACTTTTAGCGTCTCATTAACCTTTGTCTGCTTATTCCTTCAAAAATCGGATTTTATCTGTATTAGGCTTGCAATCAGTATAATTTTACTGAATTATGTGGCAAACTAACTACAAGATTGTATTGCAAACCAGCAAATTTTATCGCAACCACTTTTGTTTTGCATCATCTAATTTTCGTAACTTTAACGGTCTAGTGTCGTCCCTGATAACATTGAACCGAGACTAATTTTTTTTAAAAAGGATAGGTAATTGATATACTCTAGTCAAAGGTACTTCTTCAATGCAGAAAATTGGTCGCAACTAAATTTCACAATGTGGTTTAACTCCTAATTGGCTAAAAGGATATCATAAAAGTAGCGCAAAATTTTACCCATTTACTTATTTTTGATTTGTTTTTGAGTTTGCTTGCATGTGTCATTGAATTTCAAGCCGGAATATAGTGTGGTTAAACACTGGGTGTTCAAATCCTCGACTCGTTATGCATTTTGGCGGTGGCACGCCTTCTTCGTCGCTACTCTCGTCCTTCTCATTCGATCATCGCAATTCTTCTTGGTAGGTTGCCTCTCGTTAAAACCACATTCTACTGAAATGGCTAAAGTAATAAAAATTTTGTTAATCCGTATGAAAGCATTCCTGCCCTTCAAACCACTCATCGCCTCTCCGTTGGACGTCTGATCCCTTTCACATGAGTTTAGGTTACTTAAAATGGCGCCACCAAGTATCACGTTCACGTTCACTCTTAAGCACGGCTTGAATTTCCTATTGAAGTTGCAGTATTTGCTTTTTGTTGCCGGGTGTTGGAGACTTCAAAGTCTATTGGTAATTAGGTCATGCAAATCCCAAGTTTTGTTCCTTACATTAAAGACAAGTGACGTGAAGCTCAAAAAGTCATAAACGTGCATTCACTGAACTAGCATTACTTGGACTTGAATCAAATAACTGCAGCGGAAATATGATACGGACGTGTCCAAATGTCACCCAGTATGATGTGTTCACGGGAGCAGAACTTGGCTGCACGCTGTTTGATGACACTACGTTACCAGTGCACCCGAAAGGTTTGACTCACCACTCGCTTGTGGTCCACCTTTCCCTCCACACCCACGTTTGTGTCTTCACCGTTTGTCATCTATTTTATCCCTCCCAAATAGTGGTGACCGCTAAGGCTCTTCTTGAGTTTTACGAGTGCTGATATGCACGCCTCGGCAAAGTACTACTCGTCCTCCTCACATAAGCCGCTTCGGTTGTATTTCTTTCTTTTAGTACACAATTCCATGTAATTCGCCGGTCAGTTTCACCGCCCTCTTTCGGAAGAAACCAATCCCACTTTCAGCCGACGTCGATCCAAGAACGGTACAAGAGGCTTTCCTATCTAGCAGTTAGACTCCCAAATGGTTACGTTATTCCGGTTATTTCACTAATCTACTTGTCTGCCTAACTTTATTAATTTTATTATAAGCTTAAGCAGGTCTGTGGATAATGTTTGTGCTCTAAAAGCCAGCTATAAAATTAGTGTTTGAGCTCTGATTATTTGGCCAGTTGGGAACCCTCCGTCCCAATTAAGAGGTAATATCGGCAATAAAGGGAGAATCGGGGAAACTTTGGGCCGTCTCTGGCCAACCACACCCAGTCTGGTAGGGTTTTCCTGGCCTTCCCTTGCGGAGATCAAAACTGCAATTATTTAGGATGCTTTGTTTTCCCACAGTCCATGTCAAGGTAGAAGGGGATTGCAAATCTTTATTACGGGCATCCATTTGTTGTCAGATAAAACTGCTTTTTTAGCAAAGTTGCAGTGCATGCTTGATGTGATGAGATCATGTTTCTAGAAGTAGTGGAGACCTACAACAGATGCAGAGAAATAATGTTGTACTGCTTTCTTCCTTTCCCGCAGTTGTCCCACCCTCGGTAGCCACGTTTCATCAATCCTTTTTATCATTTATTTTTGCATAATTCTTCCTTTAATTGCTTTCACCCGGTTGAGGAAACTAAACTCAGTTAGTGTTCACTCAACGTAGAAATTTTAAATGAATTCACTTTAGCATTGCCATTCGAATGGAGATTAAAAGAAATGTCCTTTAGGAAGGTATCCAAATGAAGTGTCCAAAGGCTTTGTTGAAGGCAAATGAAGACGTAATGCCTGAACACATTGTCGACATAAACTAGGGCTTCGGGTCTACTGTCATGACCCGGAGGCCAGGCTACCCATCAGGGATTAAATTGCGGGACTCCCAGGCCGTCCAGTGCAGTGATCGAGCATTGGGCGAGCAACCCACTATTGTAAACACTTAAGGTGTTTGAAATGATGTCTAGGCCCAACAATTAGTAGCACATTTGGTCCCTTAGAGATGTGGAATCGCATAATTTATAGTCTTCACCTCTTGAAGGTTAACTGAAAGCTCAGTGGCTGGAGAGAGACAAGCGAATTTATGGATCCACGACAAACATATTCAAGATTGTCGAGAATCATTTCACATTTTTTATCGAAGATCTTTTCATTAGCGTGATTTAATGGCAATTTTAGGGCTATATTTATTACACAAACGAAAAGCAATGTCAGACATTTCAAAGTCGACTTACTGGGCTGTGGACGTCGGTACGAACAGCAGCAGATCCGGATCGGAGTGTAGCGCCTGCCTTTCATCGTTTCTGCATCTTCTCCATCACTATTGCGCTCTCCGTCCTCCTTGTCTTGCTAATGCCTCTCGCCTGCATAATTCTATCCACACTGTCCGTAGTCTTCGGTCTCTTCGCCCTCTTGCTAGTCCCCACTCTCAGTCTTGTGTTCCACCTGCTCTGCGTCATCCTGTGGGATTTCTATAAACCAGGTGGGTTCGCGTCTACCTGAACTTTCGGAATAACTTCTTTTTTACCCCTCTAAGCAGAAGGAATTGATTGTAAGGTTTCTATTTCACGACTCCAGTTATTGAGATGGAAAAGACACTGTAAAGTGCAGAAACACATCCCTTTCAAATCACGAATTTGTCATGTGAGAGGATCCTGACAGGTGGGGAGAAAAGTGTCGTTGTCTTTAGTGTCAAAGCGAGGGGAACGTCCACAGTACCAGCATTCATTATTGGCTAACAAGCAGACATTCTTGTCATCAAAATAACCTCTCGTTTTGCATAGCAGCACTTATTTTGGCATTCCATACTCCCTAATCAGCATAAAATGCATCGCATACTCCTCAGAGTTATTCCACGGCTAGTTAAAATAATGGTAGAAGTCAAATGGGAAATGTTTCGTTTGTGGACATATTGTCTCTCGTCTATTGTTACTCCTGCTGTTGTTGTTATCAGCATGCTGAGTTTGTTAACTTTTCCTCCACCAAACACCGCTGTGTCCTTAAATTTGACACACTATCACGTTAAGCATCCCAAGCAAATATACCTGCACACCACTGATAAGTTTTTTTTTTACGATTGGCTGCATCAGTCCCACAAATTTTGGGGATTACCTAAAGGTCATAATAGCCATCCTCTGTTTGACAAAAGAGGTGGCATGTCACATAAATTACAGACATTCCTCCTCTTTTGTGCTTGATCCGCCTTTTGCATACCGATTCGCGGGGATTCGGATCAGGCAGTGATTTATTCAAAGACATGCGCTCCGGTGGGTTCTACGCCACAGTTATTAAAGTTCTTCGCCCATCTACACCACTTGATTGAATATTACCAACAACGCGTATAACTTCTATGCACTTCTTGGTAAATCTTGATCCAGAGAGTACGAAAAGGTGAAATAAAGTTGTTTAAAAAGAAACTACTCTGAGTATAAACCACGGCGGCATGACTTTAGAGAAGTCAGTGCGACAACAATTTAGTTTTCACCTCAATACTTGATAAAGTCTGCTCGTTTAATTGTTTTTGCTGTTTGAGATCGAGTGTGCGAACAGTCATCCCACCAGAAGCATTAAGCACTTGCAAAACCATTTCGAAATACCCTCAGGTAATGACGGGGCTCTGCATTGGTTGGTGGTCATAAAAGGAAGAAATAAAGTGGGATAGGGTTAGTGCACAACACAAAGCACGCAGAAGACAAGGAGTTTGAATTAAGGTGTGGGCAAATTAGCATCTCGTAACTTCCAGTTATGGATGGTTTTGTGAGCTCACTAACTGAGAGGAAAGAAAGAATCCACATAAACATCCGCCTTTGTACTGTCGTTTGATTGCTAAGCCAAATAGGGGTAAGACGGGCTGTTTAACTGATCGTGCTATGAGCGCTGAAGTAGAGATGTGCTTTCCGAGTTGTCCTTCAGTTCCTGATGACTCAGTCAGTCTTCTGGCCAGTCATTTTACGGACTTATCATCTCCTCTCTCCCTATTGGTTTGTCCTGCGCCTGACTCACTTCCAGCCCAAAGTCTACTCATTTCATCGGGGTAACTTCCTGTTGTGCTTTCCTTGTCTTCTCGTCTAGCAACACATCCCAACAGCCTGCTTCCAATCTTCGAAGTTTTCATCTGGCACCTAGTACTTCGGTGCCTCCTCCAGTTTGTTGCAGCCCTGCTCTGTGGTCTGCTTCTCTACCCCCTATTCTCTCTAACGGTCGCCCTCTTCGGCCTGTTGCGGTGGTTCCTTCGCTCGGTTTGGGACACTATGACTTACCAAGCTTGCTTGAAATTTTGCATTCGCATTCCCGCTCACGACAACTACATTCTCCAACGGCGTGCCGGACCTGGTCTCTCTCCAGTGCATTTCTATAAGGTGAATCATCACTTTTTGACCTTTTTTACCTCACGATGCGAGTGTGTTCTCCTTCTTTTTTTTAAGTCTGGACTATGTAGGGTCCTAGAAATTTCTTGCTGTTTTATTTTGCAAAGATTGTGTCTATTGGTGCTGGAAGGGATAGGCATGACCATGACCGAAGTTGCATGACAGCAATACGAGGATTGGTTTACAGTTAACTGAAAGAAGTGGCGTTAATCTCCAGTGCCCAAATTTTCTCATCGTTGCTATCTCTTCGTTGGCGTCACGCATTCTAGGCAAGTTGGACTGAAGTAAGCCATGTAGATAGGTTCGTGTTCACTTTGTCCCATTTCAGAAACCGCAATGGGGCATTCAGTTACTTTTCTCAAACTACTGACTATATGTGCACTCTAGCTAGTACAGTAGTACTGTCTTTATTCTTGGACTCCAAACTTAACAGGCTTGTCACAATGGCGTTGGTTGAAGAAGAAGTCATGGAGGCACAAAAAATGCCCATGGGAAGAGGAGGTTATATTTCGCATGAATATGTGCTCGTCACGGTGAGATCCTTTTCTCCGAATGGGTAACTTTAATTTTCTTGTTTACTGTTGGAATTCAAACGAGTTTTGGATTTTAGAAGACGGCATAATGAGACCAGCACAGAGTGTTGGATTGTTGTTGTGTATTCAGATATAAATCCCTCGGCCTAGGATTTATTTTGGCGCTTTTTGAGTTTCTGCCGATGGGTGATTTCTTTAAAAGTAACTGTGGTTAAAATCAACGTAAGGGGTGGTTATTTGCAAGTTCTCCTTGCTTGCACGACTTCTCGAGATATAGCAATGAAAGAATGAATTTAAGCGCTTTTTCATGCGGTAAAACCGATTCAGTTGGCTGGTCATCTAATCGTCTTCGAAGAGGGCGAAAAAGGCAGGGCACTGGGTCAGGTGTGTTGATGACATAGGGGAGTGTTGGAGGAAGTGGAAGGCACAATGACATGGCCTCCAGACAGGCGCATTCGACGGAGGTACTGGCGGTGGAGATTCAGAGTGGTCGCATTCTTACTTAACCCCCTTTCCTCCTTTTGGTGTCGTCCTTGGCGCTCTCTTCTGTCACAACAGTAGCATGATAAAACACTCAAGAAATGCATGCAACTGAGAGGATAATTAACCACGTCTTCTCTTGTGGCGATTAACTGAATCTAGCGTTCCATCCTGTATGGGAACTGGGTTTTGGGAACAGAGTTTATGTGCTGGCCATCTCACGTATCCGTTTTTATTCGTAGGAACACTGGCGTAAAAACAAAGTCTTAATAAAGGACTAGATTTAGCATCGTTTTGCAGGACTCGAGTTTTGAATCCATGCTTCCTAACCACCCCACTTGTGCATTTATGTGGGTCCTATCCAGCTGGCAAAGGGGTGGAGAAGGTTTACCATGTGTTCGCTTCATTGATGTCTTCAAAACTACGGCAGACAGTTCCGTAACCAACCTTTTCCAGCCCTTCTGTTAGAGGTCGTCACAAACCTCCTCCCTCAACCACTGTGTGTGGAGTCCCTGCGTCAAAGTTACGTTTTAATATCTAAGAAGAGAAATCTGAATGGTTTGTCGTTAGCATCGGGTTCGTATTCCGCCGTTATTGACGTGGTGCCTCGAGCTATACCCAAAGACAAACTAAAATTGCGATGCTTGGGTGGGTTGTGTATTGTCGATGTGGAAATGGTGCTAATGGTGATCTAGTTGCCAACCTCCATTGACAAAAACACCGCAACAGAGCACTCAAGAGCCAAAGCACTACGAGTGCTATCTGAAACTCCTTTCCTATGCTGCTGAAAGTATCCTCTCTTGGGTAATTAGGTTGTACTTCCAAACCCATCCACCCTTCTTGCTTTTGACAAGTACACACGCATACTTCTGAAGACGGCATTACAATTCAGTGATTTCGTTGGTATAATCAAATACTACCCAACTTGAGTGTACGTTGTCAAGCTTGTCAAGCACTTTCAGCAGGTGAGGGCACTCAGTATTGTGTGAGACTTTTGTGTACGGCGGAACCTATTTGAAGTTGTCAGAAGGGCAACATGTTTGTGAATAAGCAATGTATAAATAAGTGGGAAATTCAAAGTGAATCACTAAGGGAGGGCGAGAGAGGTAGCATCCAGCGATGAGGCTCAGCTAAACATCTTGCTTTGTTCCATTCCGATTGCATTCTGTGTGTGAATGTGTGTGTGTGTGCGGATGTGTATCCCACAAACACACAACTGACAGAGCAAGTTTGGTGTTTTTGATCTCTCCCTTCCTCTTTTGATCGCAGAGCTGTGTTGCAGGGTCAGCGTTTGTTTTCCCGCCCGCAACAGAAAAAGCGACACCTTATATGTGTTTGGAAACAAATAAATCACTGCTTCATTAATGCTTAATGTCGTGCGGTACGAGTAAATAAACAGACCGACTGGTGGTACACTGGCCCTCGACCACTGTAACAGCGGTGCCAGGGAGGTACAAAAGTTGCGCTTTGAAGGCTAAACTGAATTACCACTTAATTGAGTCCCCACTTTATCATCCTAGGGAGAGATATGTTGAAGGTCCTGCCAATTTGTTGTTGCTCTGGAAAATGCAAAATTGCTGCTCCTAAACTCCATGAAGTAGCACTTTACAATCTTCATGAGAAATCACCCTGTAGCTAAAACTTTTTCCCTCACAGTGTAATGAAAGAAAATTGGAAAGATATCATCGCATGGACTGTTTTATCGTTTCAATTTAATTTTTAAAAATATTTTGACTAGTTTTGATTGAAAAATTTGTTTTGGGGGAAACTAAAATGGGTTTCGTTGTTTTATTTTTTTTTTTGCCCAAGTATTTGTTGCGTTTCTCGTTGGGTGTCATGACTTGCGTGAGAGAGGGCTACTTTGTAGAGTATTGTTGTGTGAAGCTCTCACTCACTATGGAAACACAATAAAATTGTCCCGAAGAAAAAAAAAACATCCAACTTACTAAAACTGATTTTGTGTTTTTAATTCCTCCTAGGCTCGACTAGCCGACGTCTGTGCCATTTTAGCCGGTCAACTGGAGGCTGTGGAACTGGAGGAATGGAGGGCACAAATGGAAGAGATCGCACGTGAACCTCTCAAGGCCTACAAGTAAGTAATTGAGGTGCTGAGGTGGAGTAAAGCAAACCAACAGACGCAGAAGGACTTGTGTCCAGCACAGGAGGCACCATCACAGGTCACGCATGCGAGTTGACAATTGAAAATGGTAGAAATGGTAAACCCAAATTTCTCCTCATAATCTCCAAAGAAGTTAATGCGTTGAACCTTGAACAACCTCGTATTAACGACAAGAAAATGGAATTTTAGCCTTGGAAACCAAAGTAGGCGGTTAACTAGCCTCATCATGTTCAAATGATATGACAAAAAAGCGGTAATGGCACTTTTATTTCATTCTAGTTAAGTACTCTCCATTTTCATGGCATTTGACAGCATATTTAACGTCAGAAAGGGAAAAGTACACAATGATAAAGTACCACCTCTATCCCACTCGGAGTGTTTTCAAGTTGTCCGATTTAGCTTAAAATTCTCCCCTCGAGCCATTACCCTCGAAACAGTTAACGCCTCCTACTTCCACACTGACGACGGTGTTGGGCGCTTCAGCTCAGCCACCTTGCAAATGCCACCTCTGTACGACACCTGTCTTTTGTGTGTGGTGTAGGCAGCTGTGTCCAGGATAGTGTCGTGACTGACCTACCGCTAGTGCTGCGTAAACACGTGGAAATACAATTTTTTTTTGCTTTTCGTGATTGGGAATTTTTTGTGTTGAAACCACGGAGTAGAATTGTCATTCAATTTTGCATGTTTGTGTAGACACGAAGGAAGCTCATACAATTATAGACTGATTAGAGTAAACAACGATTTTATCAAAAGAAGTGTCTGTGTTCCTCTTCGGTTCCTTGTCTTAGCCTCCTTCTCGGTTTCCTGTCCCCCCTCCCTCTTCACTCCCTTTCCCCGCCCCTCCACATTTCCCCACTGTCCTTCCCCATTGTCTCTTTTATGAGGAGACATAATGTCCATGTGTGCGTGTGTGGAGCTTGTTCGTGGGAGTGTCTCACGGCCAGAGGGGGAGGCAAGATCAAAGTTCACATTATACCCTCCAACCCTAATTGTTTGTGATGATGATGGCAACTGCGAGTGGGAGGACGGGAAGCGGATTGAGAGTCATAAATTGTAGACTAAACCTACCTATTGAACCATATGGATCCCCAAGACTTCATTCATTCAGGCTAATTGCAATCAAAAAATAAAACTTGTCGGATACTACACGGTTAACTTGGAAGGACAACTATTTACTTTGGTTTTCCCTGGTTCAGCTTCAGGAAGTTGTGTTCTTTCTATCAGATTAACATTAAAAGTCGAAATTTGGCTGAGCATTGCATACAGTGTCTTAGATGAACACGAGATCGTTTGATACTTTTGTGATGCGGTTTTATCAAGACTCCTTTCTATAAATATTTCATGAAAACCATGTGGGCCGGAGAAACCATGCAAGGAAGATTGCATGCATTCTTTATGGGATTCAACAAGGGTCTTTCGAGTTCAGGGGATTCACCGAACCAATCGTATCCACCAGTTTGGTCCTTTTATTCCTGATCCCTACGTAAATGCACATACCTCAAAAGTAGGTAACAGGACAATCATATTAAACCACTCCCTCTCAATTTTATGAGGATTTACTGGCTCACGAAAGTACACCTTTTTATCCACAAAATGTGCTACTAGTAATATTATCGTGAACATGAATTGTTTTCTTTTGTAACAAAGCATAGACAAAATGCATTTTTAAGTCTTTAAAGGCATAACGTGGTTACCGATTGTGATAGTGGCTTTTTAGCGTTCTGTTCTTCGAGAAGAGGACTTTGTTAGTCAAAAAAAACTGTGAACAGGACGTGCATGCAATCCCTTTTTAGCTCACTGGCGGAGAGTCTGGCGTGGCTTTCGCTGTCTCCAGTGGAAAAGGGAATTTTCTGCCAATTGCATGGGCAAACTAAGGCCTGGATCGAGGATATTCATCAGAGGGTGAAACAGTGAGTTGCTATTTAGTCCTTAAGCCTATGCGTGTGCCCCCTCACGATGATGAGGTGGACAGGTGGGAGGTGAGGATCTACGCAATCCCTTTGCCACAGTATTGTTGAACCTCTTTCGAAGAGCCAAGAGACAAGGTTCTCCAAACCATTTCACTCATCCAATCGTTCATACCTATCGGCCAACCCTTTTATTTTTAAAGGCAAACATAGTGGCAGTTCTAGCGTAAAATCGGTTTGCGAAATGTGTCCAAGTTTCGCTCCTTGTACACATGAGCGCATTCCTTTTGCACTCCACGAGTGGCGAGGTTGTGCCTCTGATGCGTCCACCCACGCATGCGGATAATGGTGGGACAGGATGAGGTGGCCAAGTTTTATGATGACTCAGGTCTTACGAAGTTGGCACGTCCCCCAATCTAAGCCTGGTAGATATTTATTGTCTCACTTTTCCTTCTTTTGCTTGCATACGGAGGATGGGCTATTTACCCCTTTTAAGGCACTTTATTAGGATATCTTGAGCGACTTTTTTTTCTTTGCTCTTAGCACAGTTTAGGCGTAGCCTTAAGAATCCTTTTCACGGCCAATATCATTCCTAAATTAAATTAAACTTGGAAGCGACTACGGCTCCAGTTCTGGTAGCGTATCTGTTACCCACTTCAATTAGCTTGGCGTCGGCACTTGCTTCCCTCTCCCGATCTCTTCCCTCATATCATAAACCCTTATGTCTTGACTGACAACAACAGCGCAGTGAGTAAATTATCGCTTGCTGAGTTATTTCGAGCCTACGAACGTCTGTTGTTGGCAATAATGGCACACCTACTGGATGACTATGGTCACAAAGGCTTGGTGCCTTATAACGCTGCAACTACCATCGGATTACCTCCAGTAAAAGCCTCTAATATTGCCCTCTGTCGGCCAAATGACTGGGGACATTAGACGGCCACGAGTGGAAAACGAGATGAACGAATGACTGACCACAGAAGAGCCATGAAATCGTGCTCCACATAAATGACCCGTTTTACTGAGGATGTAGCTACTGGTTATTGGCGTATACATTATCGTCCTTTTGGCAAACTATTTTACATTTAGACGGAGGGAGGCGCTTCAGCCCAAGTTTCCTCGCTGCCAAGCCAATCGGCTCAAGCTCTCTGCCAATGATCTTCAGGTTGGTTTGTTTTTCAAATTCATAATTGGGCCTATCTGCACGATGGGCATTTAAGCCTAAGCAATGCGGTAGAGAGCGCCTTCATCGCTGCCTATTCAATCAGGGAGATATGCACAAGAACTTACCAAATTCTGTGGAAAGAAGTCATTGAATTAAATGCCACAGAAACCGTTAATAAATGCAGAAGATAAAGTGGAAAACACTTGCTTTGACCCCACACAAGCTGAATGTGTTATTTCTGGTTTTGAATTTGATTAATAGAACTTCAAAGACGAATCGGACTCCAGGCACGAGATTTTTGGTGCCTGGTGAAGCGCATTCATTCAGCAAATTTGGTCTTTTTGTTATTCAGAAATTTACCATTGTTGGAGCTGCACAAACACAGAAGTTTTATGAAACTCGAATTCTCCCCAGACTGCAATTGTTGAATCGTAATCCCGAAGAATGGTGGTCGTGTCGAGGTCTACGAACAGATGACTTTTCCGGTTTGTCATTCTGTCGCCATCTCATCAACTTGCAATGCCTTTTTATAAAATGTTTGTGGAAAAGAATGCAAAACAGGCTAGAATGTCCTCCTTTGCCTGGATTTGGAGGCAAATATCCCTCTAAATCCCCTTATCAGCCAAGCTATTACACTAAGCTTGCCTTGCTTACTTTAACTCAAAGGAAGGAAAAGAGGGAGCTGCAAACTATGGCATGATGGCGCTTTCAGCTTGAAGTCAATCAGCCTCTGACAAAGGTGTTGAACTAGCAAACCCACTTGCCTTCATAAAAGTAGTCACTATTGTAGGGAGTTGTTTGCGAAGCTTAATGTAAATCATGCATCAGTGTCCACCCAACTTTCTCACCTTTTCTGCTCCACTGGTTGATTCCAAGATCACTTCTTCATCCATTGCTAGTGTTAAAAAACGCTCATGCTTGCTCTAGGCTCTCCTACAGTCCCTCGTAATCGACCGACATGGTTGAATTTGAAGATATGTGCACACTCTTTAGCAGAGTAGTGTGCTTTCCGTGCACACGGCTTTTAAATCGAGTCTTCTAGCATTACCGTCGGGATTCGAAAATGCTCATCATTATCGAGACAACGTTCCATGTTTTTGCACTGTATGAAACTTTCACTTCAGACAGCTTTATGGTGTCTTTGTCTGGAAGACAGATTTTACGATTACTTACATTTTCCGGCGAAACGGTGGACGTTGAGGTTGTTCAAACTGAAAGGTGGAGCAGTATTTTACTATCTGATTGAGGTAGTGCACACACTTCCAGTGTACTTCAGTCTCTGGTGCTAAGCGCTTGTCTAAAATCGTTTTTTGTTTTTTTTTTTCTATTTTACCAAAACAATAACGATTGATCACTTTCTAAGGCTCAAAAGTGTGTCCACTTTTAGGGCTCTGCATGAGGCTAGTGAAAAATGTTCTGGGTGAGCAATTCTTGACAAGTCTGAAAGAGACGGATACGGTATTCCCATTGCACGTGAGTTCTTTCGATGTGATACAACTTACCTGACTACCTCTTCCCATGCTTTATGAAATGACCCATGCAACTGCCTTGAAAAGGTTCAAAACTCTCCTCTGGTCAAGCTAAACTTTACGGATAAGTGTCCTGCCTAAGTAGCTGCCATTTTCAGCCTTATGTTGTGCTAATGTGAGGAACTTTTAAGCAAACTACACGAGGTAGCCAAGCATGTCTTTGCAAGAGGACTTTTTAAGTCGCTTCAGCTGAGTCATCCTGACAACCTGTCTGATTATTTGCGCCCAGTGAAAACTCGAAAGTTCAACGGTTCACTTGCAAATGTGTTTATCATTTCTACCGAGGGATCCATTTGCCTTGCCATTCTCTGACTGACTATTTGTTGATCGAGAATTCATAGCTTGGAGTTACAGGAGTTGGCTGACTTTTGAGGATGTGAGGCTGTAATAACTGCGGTCTTATGATTGTCTGTGCTACTCAAATGTCACATCACTATGCCTCTCACATAGACATTTTTAGGAGTTTTGAGCTTCTTTAGCTGTTCCACGCACGTGTACGCAACCACCGTTGTCTGCCATCTTGATAAGCGTGTGCCTGGACTGACCAACGGAATGGGCGATCACTGTTCGGGATGAAACACATCCCTTTCCTACGATTGCATGCATAACCATCACAGTAGCACGTCTCATTAATGGTAGGAAATTCAAGCCTCAGTGTTGGAAGTACTCAAATTCATGGACCTACTCCTTACAAACAACTCACTTACCCTTTAATGAAGTTTATTGCGATGACAATAGTAATAATTTGAGCCACAAAGAATTGGTCTTTCTTTGGTTTTAACTAATAGGACAACAAATGCATCACTAGGGCTCTTGATTAAAAGTCGAGAGGGGAGATCGTCTAAGTGCCATAACCCCCACCATTTCAATTTCGAGAGAGGAGACTGGTAGACCCACCCAATTTGGCTAATGCATGTTGCGTCCATATTCCGCTGGGAAACCTCGGGTCTAAATTAGGCTGGTGAGCATGGGATTTTTTTCAAATGACTTCCTCGTTACAATAGCAGCACTGTTAAAACCCCTTTTTTGAAAGAAAAACACTAAAATGATGGACGAAAATGTGAGGTTGATTAAGTGATGAAGAAGTTATGTTGATGGAGTGATGTGTATTGTTCCTCCTGTAGGTCCGTCAAAAAGGCATCGTTAGCAGATTTGCCCAAGTTCTACCACCGACTCCGTTCATAATGCGCCGGCCTATAACGACGACCGGAGCCTGCGCTGCGGAAACTGCACAGGAAGTTGTGAATTCGAGGTCTGAAGAACATGGGATAACAACCACCACCGTGGTACAACGCTCTCTTCCTCCTTCTTTTGCAAAGAAAACCAAAGAGAGACCTGATGGAATACCAAAATCTCGCTCCTATCCACCAATGAGTGGCGAGTCTGATAATCATCACTGTGGTTACAACCTGGAGGAGCAGCCGTCAATAGATGTAGACTTCGAAGATAGCGAGGTTGAAAGCTCATCGGGCAACTCAAAACGCCAGACAGTTATCCTCGCCAAGGGAAAGCACGGTGGGGAGACTCAAGAGGCGGCGGCGGCGGCGGCGGAACCGGTGCATGAAGACAGCATTTCTATTGAGTCTATGGTCTTCATTCACATTGAACTTCCACTCTTTCCCCTTTCCACATTCGTGCCAAAAGCACTACAAGAGGCTGCTGCAGCCAGAAATAAGAGGTGAGTGACCACTTCTAATGCTTGAGAATTTTTCGTAGAAATAAATTATTCTGTTATGACACACAAACAGCGGAAAAGTTAATTTGAAGTCCCAGTTTTCAGTCGCCAAATTTTTACTTATCGCGTATTTGTCCGCGTTTAAAACGGTCATTTAAATGCGATTTTTTTTTGTCATGAGCGAATCGCCGTACGCATGATCTCCACTGGGTGACATTTATAACTGATTAGTTTTGTCCAAATTCTAACCTTTACCTACTTCTTGGCCAATCAAGTGGGAACAAAAAAATCGAGTTGTTTTCTTGTCATGCAACTGCAGTTGATTGTGACCTTTTGCTAGAACATTTATTGCCTCGGTGCAGTGAAGCAGGCATTCCACTGGTGACACGTGAGCTGCTGGGGGGTTCTTCGTCGAGGCGTTAATTTTTTGGGCACGATCATTTATGTCACTGCCTTTCACAGCCATTCTATGTCTGTCCTCAGTGTGAAGACGGTTTGATGATACAAAGTGAAAGAGGGAGACAATGAGAAGGCGAGTGCTTCTGCGTGGACAATCCAGTAGGTGTGGAATCAGATGACGATGACAACAACTGTCTAAAACAAAACACTTTGTGCAACGTCTTTTCTTCGTTTGCTAAATTGAAGTCACGAGGAGGTGGTGATAGGAATTTTAACAACTTTTGGATTGAAATTCATTTGTGCCTATTTCCGTACAAACGTATCGCCAGCTGAGCAAAGTTTGGCTGGCTTCGTTACAATGACATTTTGTGCATGTGTTGTCCGGAGGGAGTGAAAGTAGAAGTCGTGCACCCATATTGCAGTTTCATTGAAACCTAGAAAAGCCATTCGACTCGACCAAAATGTGTATTTTTAACGTCAAGCCGTCCATCCAAGGCTTAAAGTAGGCCTTAACCTCTCACACGTAGATGACCTCATGATTGCGAGGCAGATGTCTCAGTGGTTGGCAAAAGACGAGTAAATCCTTGAATCCTCATCTAACTCTCCGAATTTGTCTGCATTGAAAGATATCACCTATGGTGATTCGTGCCTACTTCTAACTGCTTTTTTGGTCTTAAAAAGTAGACAGAAAAGTGATTCCTTTAAAAGGCATTTTATGCATTGGTTAGATTTGTTGGTATTTCAAGGCTCTCCAAATGCCATGATGCAGAGGCTAGTCCACACTACGATTCGGGCAGCACCAAAGGGCCCTTTTTACCAAAACCAGAAGTTAGGTTAACAATCAGCTTAGTATATACTGTCTGTGATTAATTTTTTGAACCCTCTCTTGACTTCCCTCGTTGCCGTCTCCTTATTGTTTAGGGAAGGGAATACATTGTCTTCCATTAAAAGGAGCAATCAAAGTTTTAATGTTTATTATGCGAGTTCGTTTTTAAGCCCACTTTTATGCCTTTTAAGCGCATAATGGTAGCGCATTCACTTAAAATCAGGTGACAACGCTTTTATCGTTTTTTGAACCTTTTTAGAGCTACAGCCAAACTGGACCCAAGAAGCGGTCCTTGTGCTCATGTCTCGGCTTCTGCAAAAGGGTCCAGAACCTCAGGAAAGTTAATGCGAATCCCAGGGGCGCCGTTTCCCACCTCTGCTGGTGGCAATGTTAAAAGGGTTGGGGGGATCGGAACGCTGCTGAAGGAGGAAGAGGAGGAGGAGGAGGGAACACCGCTCGTGGGAACATTACCGTTCACTGCATCGCCTCCTTCTACCTTGGAGGTTAAACGAGCACCTCTTGGCCGCCGTTGCAGGGACGCCTTGTGGATGTGTGTGGTCCGTGCAGTGACCAGAAAGTGGAGACTGGAGAAATTTGCTAAAGTCCAACGCGAGCTGCCATTTAGCAATGTGATTGAGAATATTGGCCTCCTAATGCATCCGGTGGAGATTGTTTTAAATATGCACTCACGGTGAGTCGTCTACCTTGATACTTCCTCTCCCATGTCCTTTTACCTGTTCACAAGAAATCGACAAATGGTTTCCTTGTTTCCTCCATTCGATGAAGCCCATATACACAGAAGTGGATTTAAATAGGAAATTCTCAGCTTTTATGTGTAAAAATGTTTTTGCGCTCGATCACTGGATGGAAGATAAGTTGGTTGAGGAGAATAATTTGCCTAAGTAACTCTTCTTTAGCAATGTAAGTCCATATTTCGTTGTCGCGGTGATAGCTAAATTGCGTTGCATTAACCAATAAAAACGGAACGAAGACAACCCAGTCTGTAGACTCTTATCTCGGTGATGGTGGGATTGCTCGCACCTCGGCCGTGACCCAAACGACGTTTACATTCGGCCTCCATGCCATCGGGTTGGAGCGCTAGAAATGACAGTCAATCACAAACTAAACGCCACGGTCACAAGAAATGAGCTTTAGGAAAGATTAGTACATGAATCAAGTCACTTTACCTTCGTAAGTCTGGTTTAGCTTTCTTGAGTTGCTATGCTTGGACAGTGAACGGATAGAGTCGGATAGCTCTGGAACAGACTCTTTATTTTAATCAAAACCGTGTTCATTTAGGCTACAATTTTCTTCATTTTTTTCTGCATAAATAATTAATACGATATTGTGCTTAACGCGAAAAATATGATTTTTTACAAAAATGTCTCCTATTCGAACAGTCAATGGCAGCATTGAGTTGCATATAGTCGAGAAAGGTGTCTTTTCTTTCAGAATTCTAGAGGAGCGTAAAATAAATCGAGAGCACCCTATATTGGCTAAGCATATCGCTGAGCTGACCGCCTTCCCACCAACGCATGTCGCTCCGCCCCACACATCCGGTGTCGGTCCCATCAACTCTTTGCAACCACAGTTTCACACACTTGACTATGTAACTACACATACGGCACCCGTTCGTCACTTCTCTTTGGGCCATGAGCCACAGTCATTGCGCGCGTTTGAGACACCGTTCGATCGACCGCTGGATGGTGAATCGCCAGGTCAGCGACCGCGGGACTGGGACGATTTTAATCTCGCCTCCTGGTGGGATGTGGAATCACGACGGGGTCGAGACTACTTGGAAATGCACGGATCGGCAGTGGACTTTTACACCGCAGTTACGGATACAACGACTTCAGCATATGAAGAGACGGAGGACTTGGACGAGGAGGACGGCGCGGAGAGAGAAGCGGCGGAGATTGACTTCCTATTGGAGAGTGCAACAGTGATGCCAAAAATGGTCATTGATCACGAGGAGGGCAACCTCTTTAGTCGGTCTCAGGGACCGGAAAGCTTTCAGCTAATCAGCATCAGTGGAAACGGGATGAAAAATGTAAGTGCTAAGTGACAAATGTGCTTTGGGTTGAAAGAAATTAAATTGGAATTTGGTGATCAAAAGATAACACTTTTTATGCTTGCTGCACTTCATTTACCTCTCTGGATGACGTTTGATGAAACAAGAAGGCGCGAATATAAGTAGATGTTATTTCAACGCCAAATGTACGTGCTATTTTACGAAATTTTCTTTCCACGATGGAATATTTTATTTCAGTCCCAGTGGCTCTTTCAGTCGCGAGCCAAGACTACTAAATTAGAAAGAGGAGAAATACTAGGACTTCTAAGGCGATAATAACTATAATTTTCCATCTGTAAAGAGTTTTCTGAGTGGTATCGTAATATGTCTTCCTTTCATCTCTAAGAAGACGATTGAAAGCGCAAACGCCAGTCAGACCTTGCAACCCAAGCCACCCACCCTGATGGTTACGAGCTCGAGTTCTGCCAGCGGGTGGCCAGTGCAGCGCCCGCACTCTTCATCAAGCCTGACTACAGCACCGAGCAGAGGCGATGGAGTCAGTCTTGGTCGTACCCACCCCAACACCTCCGTGGGGAGTGTTGGGCAGAGCATTGCCTCCCAATCTACTGTCCGTCTGACTAACGTTCAGCGTCGCTCCCAACACCTTCAAATCCACTAATTCCACTCCAGTAGGTTCCCACTTGCTCAATTGCTACAATTGTATGCTTTGCTTCAAAACTTTTTTTTTTTGGATATTCGACCACGTCACACAAATTGCAAGTGGCGACTGAAACAACTCATGCTGAAAGCACTCAAGGATAATTTTCCCTAATTTAAAGTATGCGGGCAACTTTTTTCGAAAGTAATGCCCTAACTTTTCATTTCTAATAGTAAAACATGGAACAGATGAAGGCTAAAACCATCGTGTGCAGTCAGTTTTTGCAATTAAGAATATTATTTTTTGCCATGGTGGAAAAAACTGATCGGTAGATCAAACTCCTATGGAGCATAAACATATTTAGCAAAAAAATATTTTGTTTTTCAGTCGAAACTATAAATGTTGCCTTTAAGCTCCCAACTTTATGATGGGAACAGGGGGAAGGTAATCTAAAGCACTTGCTCCTGCATCGTTCGCCTCCTCTCCTCTCCTCCTCCGAGGTGGTTAGAATCCTCGATGAATACCTTGTGACTTCTTGGCAAGCAAAATCCATTTTCAAACCCAACAGGAAGTGGTGACATGTTTCATCTGAGCACGAAACGAAGTTGCGTTCTTTCTTCCGGTTTTTGAGCTAGGTATCAATAAATCTGGCGTTTTATATTGCACGAGCCTTAAAAGGCGGAGGCAGTTCATCATAAGGCGACAAAATTAGGTAATTTGGTGAGGACCTCCTGTCGCAAGGGCGCTAAGCATCCATTCAGGTTAGCATTAGATCGCAATTTAAGTAGAAATTTAAGTAGTGCACTTGACACTTGAAAGTATCGGAGTACACACTGAAGTTCAACCAAACGGCTGGTCAGAATGTGGTAATAGGAAGGGACTGAAATCGCAACTCAACAAGCTTTTTTCCCTTAAACCTCGATTTCTGTACTAATTCATTTTTTATTTAATGGCCCTTCTGGTGCACATGATATAAAATCTTCCTTTTGTCACATGATTGGTACCACTTTTGATGAAAGATTAAATTCCCTAATCTCCTTGGAACGCACTTTTTGGAGCCCCATTGCTACTTTCTCATGATTTATCTTCATTCGCCCTTTGTTACGCCTTGGATCACCAGTGGTGATGTTGCCTGAATGATAAAACCAGGAGATTAATGCCGCGCCCTCTGATTGCTCCTCTTGTCAATCTTCATCATGAGGAAAACTCTGACGTGCCTTAATAGCTTATTTCAGAAATGTTTATATGGTTTGGATTCTTATCATTTGCAGATATTGTAGCTTTAACAACTTCTCATGTGAACCGGCTGCTTTATTGCGCTGTTGCTTTTGCTTGGCAGACATTTTTTGGGCTTCTGCGTCCACCACTGCGCTGTAACTGGCACATTTGACTGCTCATGTCCAACCTGTGTGCATCACCCTAGCTAAGTCAAAAACCATCGTTTCTTTCTTCCTACAAATGGATGTTGGGTGTGACATTGCAAATGGATGCTTTAAATGACAGAGACGGTTCAAGGAGTTGTTGGACACTATCAAATATTCATCAGGCAGATGCCACGCAGGCGTGCACTTACTCACGGAGTCAGAGCGATTCTTCTCGACGTGGAGAGGGGCTGGGAGGACACTATTAGTTCGATGCAGAGATCAGTGGAAGCACCTTTCCGAAGGAATTTGAATTGTTACTCTTGTCACCTCCTCTGTCACCTTCTTTTGTCACACATCACAGTGCAGCCGACGCTGCATGGAAATGCACCTCCGAACTAAATGTGGCGGTTGAAGAGTTGGTATGCAATCGTCATTATCACCAATCCCTCCTGGACACGAGACGTTCCACTCACTCCAAGAATAAATGCCAGAATGTGAGATGGAAGAGAGGGATGTTTCTTTTGAACCTGATTTTGTAACTTCTATTTGGTGACATCGGTTTGCTGATTGGTTAGGGGAAAATTAACGCATTGTTACACTCCATGTTTTGCTTTTAGAGATCTCCTTCCAACACTATCCCCCACTCGTTCATCGTGGCCAACGGAGCGCTCTCAAACGAATCGGTGCTTTTATTTTATGTACTACTGCTTTTTTTTGCAATTTTCTTCGCTTCTCTTGCCACCTTATGGTGTATGGCTTATTGCTCTGTTGTGTACATTTTCAATTTGTATTTTTGCCGGAGCAAGAATGAAATACAAGTGGATTATGCATAAGAATTGAAGTACACCCTCACGGGTTTTTTGTGGCTCTCTCCTCACCAATTTTCATTGTCGCTCTCGACATCATAACTGTGTGACATGTGGTCATCACCACTTTTTTGCTAAGTAATTGCATCAAATCGCGTGAGTGAAGCTTAAAACATCACAATAAGACGTAAAGACGAAAAAGTGGTTTCAATTTTGGACAACGATTGAGGTGATTCGGCACATCCTCTCATCTTCCCTTTTCCTTCACCAACAATAGAGCGTTCATCATTAAAGTAAAGCGCTTCCGTTCCGACAGGCACTCATGAGTTGGTGATGAATGAGCACTCTTGGGTGGTTGAATTTCGTCTGGTTAAAAGTACTCCTCCTCTTGCCATTTTAAAAGTGTTTTCGGAATTTGGACGATTCGACTCACTTCTCTGACACGACTTTAGGTGGTCGTGTTCGGTATGGGTGGCACTGTGAATCAGAATGCAGGACTGTTTCAGGTCAGGGACTCTTTTTCATGCCCGTTGGAATGCACCACATCCACTTCTCCCTACTCTGCGGATATGCAGAAGATATTTTCCACCTATCGTACTTCTCGCAAGAGTGGTATCCCAGGCCTGACTTATGACTTAGTACGCGGTCATAAACTCTTATTACGGCCACAAAAGTCTTGCTGTTTGAAACAGTCGTATTCATCATTTGATCATGAAGCAGAGACGCGTTTATGAGTGTGCATCGGACAAAAAGCGATGAGAACGGTCGTACTTGAGGTGAGTTGATGCAGATTACAACCGTATTGTGGAGTGAAGATTCAAGGCAGATGCGAAGTTGTGGTGTGTGAGTTCAAAGTTGCTTTTTTATCCACTCAAGTCACTCTCCCATACTGATTTGCCTTGAGGGTGGGGATGTGGCTGGAATCTTTTCCATATGAGGGAATTTTAAGCTAAACGGGATCGCGGAGAGACGACAGCAACCACCTTTTGGTTGAAGAGTTAAATGAGTTACACAAAGGGGCGACTTTGACTGTAAGACCAGAGCAGCGGTCCCTTCAAACCTACACGGAATAAAGGTGTGCTGTTCGTCCTGGAAGCGTTAGAACAAACCTCAATTTTCATTTCATTTGTGAAGAGAACACATTGCTAAGGTAAAGTGGAGTGTTCGGTTAAGTTTTGTTGTTCATGAAGTAGAGCACTCCGGACAGACAGTATCACTGACCTCCAAAATAGACATACGCATTGTTTACACTATGATTGTGGGAACGCCCACTTGACAATTCGAATCTTTCAACAATCGGCTCTTGAATTTTTTTGTTTTTCTTCCTTGAAAAGGAGGGGCAGGAGAAAGCTGTACTGGGGGTAGTGAGGATTTACCATCAGGCTGTCGCCATTTGGTGGTACTTTTAAGGGTGCCCTGTGTGGGAAGGCAGTAACAATGAATGCACAAAACAATACTCCAAGAAAGACATCTTTGTTTTGTCGAACTGTCCGGAGTGCAATAACAAGTCGTTTCAGTTGGGAGATCAACTGATCTCGAAGTGTGGAGGTTGGGCATTGCTCTGCACTCTCTCCTTTTTCTTCGCACAATTGGGGAGGAAAGAAAGTTTTTTTGAATTCTGCGATACAATGGGCTTTATTGAGGCGGCTTTCTCCCTCCAGCATTTATCTTTATTTGGGCAAAAGTCACATCTCCTCTTTGTCTTGCGTTCGGTTTCGCCAAGGTCTGCAGGTCTTCCCTCTCCTTCCCCTTCCACTGATAACTTCAAGTGAATTTCTTTTATTCGCGAAAAAATATAGTAAAAAAATTTCATTTATGCACAAGAGTTATTAGCTTGCTCTTGTAGCAATTCTCGACAGGAGACTTTTACTTCCGACATGCATTTTATTTAAAAAGATGATTTTCAACATTTCCTTGACAGACGATGTCATTCAAAAATTCCACCCAATTAGTCACAATCAAGTCATAATTGACGGTGCGAGGCAGATGGGTTAAAACGAGTTTAGATGAATTATCAAATTGTCAGCTTCTAATGAACTGTCGATTGAGGGATGACAGCGTTACCTTGCGATCCTGTCCAGATGTCGCAAGGCGAGTGGTATTGGCAAAAATGCTACGCCTGGAGGCGGTACGAGAGAAAGGAAGAGTTATGGGCTAAGGGCTCCCACTTTCCTGCATGATTTGCCTCGCTTTCACAGTACCGGTATTAAGTGGCACCGAGATGAACACATTTTGCCAATCCTGCTCTCCAGTCAAGCCAATTTCAGGCTCTCAATGACAAGTGGACATTTTGCATAATGCAAATCCTGTCTACAAGACTCCTCATCGCCCCGGCATGAGCAAGCACGGGTTGGCAACTGACAACATGCCCATGACATGAAACTCCAGCTGAATGGGGCAATCGAAATTATTCATCATCAGATTGACTTCATGCCACAATGTGATGTGCAAATTTTGTATCTCCGAAACCATCGCGCAAATCATGATAGAACACTGATTTACGTTGATTAACCGGTAAATGCATGAAGACTTGACTTGACTTGACTTTCAACTTCGCGGACATCCCATTTTTAGCGTTAAATGGGAAGGATGCCTTTATAATGTAAATAAAGGATGATAAATTTGCATCAATGTAGTGCACCCAAAACTTCCAACTTTCTCTTCATTACTTTTATGGTTTAAATTATGCATGGAAGGGGAGAGAGCGCTTGGCATATCCCCACTACTTAAAGACATCCAATTATGTAATGCAAATGGTGATTCATGGAGGACTGGATTAGGTGTTTATGGCTCAACAAATCCCTCCCAATTTGAAATGAGACAAAGATTCTTTGAAAAAAGGGTAATTTTACAATTCTTAACACAACTGGGAACACAATGTTGAAATAAAACCACAGAATGAAGCTCTGGACTTATCGTGACTGTGACACTACTGGTGAACCTTTCTACTTTTCGTGACAACTTTTGACAGCTTCAACATTGTGGGCGTTGAGGGCTATTGTTCTACTTTCCACTAACGAAGGGGGTGAGTGGAGTTCTGATTGTACAAAATACTTTTGGACAGGTGAATAAGGACCAGTTCGTGGCACTCCAAAACTACTAAATTATCGCCTACTTGAACTTAATTTCTTCCTCGCATGCTTAGCCTTTGCAATATCAAATTTTCATAAGGCGAGGATTTAGTTTTCTTTTTCCATCTGGACAAGAGTAACAAGTAACACGCAACAAGTGCTGTTTACATCTGTTGGAGCTATCTCGCCTCGACAACAGCAGTGTGAAAAGGTGGATGAATAATTTGCCAGAGACACGCCCACAAATTGACTGAGTGAAACAATTTTCCGCATTGTGATAGCCTCGCTACCCTACAAACGGAAAACCGAGGCGAGCAAAAAAAGGAGTCAGCCTAACGATGGTAATAATTTTGCGGCAAGAAGCATTTTGTATTCACCACTGCCTGCTCCTTTCTTCACAATTCAAGGCAACAAATGTATAATTTGCAGTACAGAAAGACTTTTTACTACTCCTCCTCCTCCCAATTCGCTCAGTCGGTGCTACAATCTCGGTAGTTTAAGGCATTTTTCTATTAGGTGGATCAAAAAAGGGGGTAAAATGATTAGCAGGTCGGTGAACCGAATACAATGTACCTCCACTGCTCTGAGAAATCCCAGATGGTCCATTTGCCCGAGCATTGGGACAGGGTAAACACACACACACACAAACACAGCATCAAATTGAAAATGTTACATACACACGCCGACCATATGGGCGAATAATGAGTCTCAAATGGGACAGAATGTTGCCATTACGGTTATGATCATTCCAGCCCATTGAAATTATACCTAGAAGTGAGCAGAAAGATGCACAGGAGGGATGAAAAAGGCACCGACGGCCACTTGGAGAAGAAAGCGCATTCCTCGCTGTGATGTCGAGTAAGAAACTCCCCAAATCTCTACCAAATCGAGCAAGAAGAGCATTTGGGGTATGAGTGGACATGGCAGCGAATAGTGTGGGAATTCGGACTGCCAAAGTGGTGGTATAACACCTCCGGCCTCAGCGGCTGAATCACCTCAAATTGACGTGAAAGTCGCGGTATGCAGGAAGGGCATGGCGAGTGCAGGCATTTCGCACGACAGTGGGGCACGGAAGTCAGAGATGGCAATTAATTATGGCATCAAGCTTGTAGGCGTGCCTGTGCCGCATTTCTACGATAGACGCATTCCAGAGCCTAGGCCGTCCAAGCCCTCCTAAACACTCCCGCCTGACGCTCTGGCTCATGCATGAAATGCCTTTTTGTGCTGCACAATAAAGTAGATAAATACGGAGACGATGTGTGCATTGATCATTCGCTTCTGGTTCTTTTTCCAAATACAAACCTTCTACTTTACTTCGATATCATTCGCACGATGCCTGGATCTCTGCTTGATTCTGTTTTTAATTTACGGCAAGCAATTTTTTCTTCGCCAACTTTACGTCCTGGATGCAGCACTAAAGTCGTGGCGAAAATCGCGCCAACTCCTACATAATCACCTCCATACTCTGTGTGTGATGTTAAATTTGAGTATTTTTTGAGAGTAAAAATAGGCTTCAGGCTTTGGCTTAATCATTGCGCGGCATTTTGCTACCTAAACATGTGGGATTATCCCCTAACCGTTATGATCGTCGGACATACACACACACACACACACAACTGCAACTGATGTTCCGGAGTGGGTTTGACGTGAGAATTTATTTCAATTGTCAAATACACTGTCGAGCTGAGATGGCGCCCAGTCAGCTGTGTGTATTGTATCTGGATGATGGAAGAGCGTAAAACACTGGCTTATTATTTTCGTACGCCTAGTCTTTAACCGTTAAAAACACATTTGGCGCCAGCTTCAAGCCGCAGAGCCGATAAAATCACCTCCCTTCTCACAACCAAATTTCATACTAAAAAGTGAATGAAATCTACGCCTACACTGGAGAGTAAGTATTTTGGTAGTACAAAATGTCATTTCGATTTAACACATTTGTGGCAATAAAATTTGATTTGTGCTGTGCTTTTATTCATACTCGATGATCAAAGTCGTGGGTTATGCGGTCTACTCAAGAGGGGGCATTTTTGGACAATTTTAACTGGTTATAGCAGGCACATGTCCCCCTCAAAGCGTGTAGGATAATGCGGAGGTGGATTTGGGATCTCACAGGGTGAGGAGAGCGCCTCCAGGAATGTCATGCATAACCGTCATTCGCAGCGGCAGTAGTGGCAGTAGAGGCAGCAGCAGTGCCAGTGGATAGAAGCACATCCGCATCCCGTTACATCATCGGAGCCAGGCAGCCAACCAGCTACTGGCCAATCAGCCGCCTCATAGGCGGGAGCGCTGATTACATTACATCAGGGCATGTGTGCTGCGTCCACACACACACACACACACCGACACGCACTCCCATTCACATTCAATCGCCCAGCACGCATGGCATTGTCGGTCGCCCAGTTACTGCTCATGCTGTTGCCAAAAGTGGTATCAGTAGTAGGATAAATTATATCCTCCTCTTCCTCCTCCTCTTCCTTCTCCTTCTCCTCCTCCTCCTCCTCCTCCTCCCGTAAGTTCCTCTTGGAACCGCCGCCATGGATACACACTTCTTCGCAGGTCTGACCAAATTCAAGCTCGACGCGGGGAAGCATCGACGTGACGACGATTTTGCCGATCGGTTTAGCCACAACTTCACCACCCTCCTGCTGGTTATTTTCACATTGGTGGTGTCCGCGAGGCAGTACATCGGCAAGCCCATAGCATGTTGGGTGCCCACTGAGTTCACACGGGCGCAGGAGGAGTACGCGGAGTCGGTGTGTTGGGTGACGAGCACCTACTTCCTCCCCACCAAACAGAAAACCGTACCAGAGTCGACACAGGAGCGTGAAGAGCGAAAAATCCTCTACTACCAGTGGGTACCATTCGTTCTCATGATCCAGGCCTTCCTCTTCAATCTGCCCTGCATCATCTGGCGGCTTTTTAATTGGCAATCGGGAATCCACGTAAAGACCTTATTTTATAGATCACCTTGAGTTTATTATTAGGCAACATCACGAGGCCCGTTTATGCCCTTAGGCAGGTAGGCAGGTTTTTGCACTTCGCGTACACAACAGTGGTCGATTTGAAGGTAGAGAGAGAGGGAGAGAGAGAGAGAATTGTCATTCCTGTAGTCGCATTGTGGTTTAAAAAATTATGACAATAAAATTGTCTCAAGTTTCACCAAAATTAATAATGTCTGTTAAAGTGATCACTGTTTTTTGCATAAATTGCAATCTTCACAGACTGGACGTAGACACTGAGGTCTTCACCTTCCCCCCTTTCCACTGTTGATCTTCTGCATTGAAGCCTTGCTTTATGAGAGGCAAGACTTAAATATTTTTACCTCATTGTTTTGGCAAATTGCTACAGAGGTGGTTTGAGACTCCTGTGGGCTTTTACCTTCAGAGTGTTTGAAACCTAGGCGGAGGCAGGTGTGAGAGTCAATGCAGAGCATCCTTTTAATGACATACTGCGCAAGTTCTTTGAAGTGGATGCAGCACACGTCTCCTCTCCACACTGATGTTATCAGAGCACATGTAAGCACGTTTCAATTAGCAAGTAGATAATCACCAAACCCGGTGATAATGGAACCGGCTTGATTCATTTACCTTTTCGCATCGCAGTCAGTCGGCAAATCTGCTGTTGAGCAGGCACGGAGCAGTGGCCGACTGACTTGAAAGGGACAGTTAGCATCAGCATTGTCAGGTATATGGAAAATCTCGTATGGATGTACTTTTGTACGCTGTGCGGTTTACCGAGGGAGGTGGTGAAATTTCATCCCTAATCCACTAAGTACTTCAAGGGTGACAAGCACTTCCACCTTCAATTCTTCAACCTTTTTAGATGAGCTGAAGTTTGGCAAAAGAAGTGTGCGAGATTTAGTGAAAAGTGGACGATAACTTAGCCACTTTGAGCACACCTTCACATTCACAGCGATGTAGGACTCTTGAAAACATCTACGGAGGTGCGCATTATGCTTTGAGTTAAGTCAAACCTCAATGGGCCATCTGCGTTTGGAGTGGAGCCAGTTGCTTCAAAAACACGACACAGTTTTGCATTTTGTCTAATTAAACAATGGGCTTCCATTTTTGATTCGATTGAGGCATGCGGATCTCAACCCCCATTTTGGAAGGTCAGCAACAACACCGAGGAGTAGGAATCTGCAGAATCCATCCATTATGCGTCTGTCCGTCCTCTCATTTGTCTGATTTGTCAGATTCACCTTTTTGCAAATAATAAATGGCTAAGATTGGAAGCTCTCCGTCTGTCGGAACGCTAAAAGGGTAAAAAAAAAATAATGCCATTCAAGTTGAGTACTTTGAGGATCACAAAACAAGTTCCATTCTCCTCTCTTCGCACCTCTCAGTCTAGCGTGTCAATACAGACCCAGCAAACCTTGTAGGACAGGATGTTGAGATAACATTGTTGAGGAGTTATTCAGCACCACCAGCAGTAGCAGCAATAAAAAGTTTTTTGCAATGGGAACCGAAGAGTGAGCCAATTTTTTCCTCCTCCAAATCCCAACGACATCGACAAATAAAAGAGGCTTATTCACAAGAAATCATTTGCCAGAGAGAGAGAGATGCAAAACAAATTATTCCCCTTAATTCCTTCTTTGGCGGCGTCGATTCCAAAGTGTTGACAGGCACGGCCAAGTCCACTCAAAAGCACTTGTTTACCTCGTCCCAGCCGCAGTGCCGAGAATAGCGACTGGAGGAACCTCTCGGTGGCTCTGATGCCATTTTTTTTTTTCAACATTGAAGTGTGTCTCACTTGCTCACTTCTCTCATAATTATTTTTAAGCATTTTTTAAAGGCACAAGGCTCCACCCAAGACGATGGCGAAATGACGCATGTCTTTCGGTGTGCACGAAAAGGTGAATCTTCACAAGCCTCCTCGTCTTGTCAAACAGCCAACTGTCTGTTATGTCGTTTTCTTGAATGTCACAACCAAGTCATGCTTGGTTTTCCTTCAGATTGTAAAATTATGGCAAACCCAAAAGTGTAGAAAATCGAGCGCTTCGTATTTGGTGCAAAACAGTGTGTGCTTTGTGTGACAGCACCTGTCAACCATGAGAGGGACACGTGTCCCTTTCAAGAAAGCAAATTTCCCTTTCAAAAAACCCTTCAGCGGCAGAAAAGGCCTCTCCATTTTATTTGCATGTGACCCACCTAAATGACACCCAACTCCTTCCTCCTTTCTTTTTTTTCCTTTTTTTTGGACTGATTGACATTGTGTTAAACCTCGAATTTAGCGATGCGAATGCTGTAAACTTGACATTTGCTACAGCCCCAAACTGCCACGGACAGTTTGGGCTTTGAAAAAAAAAGGTTAGCCAGACAGCTGAAAGTGTAATTATCAAGAAGGGACTTCCTGTAGTCCTCCTCTTTGTAGGCGTCAGTGGCTTTTGACATTTTCACTTCCAATCGCGTAAAAACACGCCAAATGCACTTTTCCAGTGGCCTTTTAGGAAGCCAACTTTTTGGGAGACCGGTGGAGGGAGATTTAAAATTGATGCACAAAAATCCTTCCTCCACACCTCTTTGCGCTGATGTGACAGTCGTGGATGAGTTGTCGTTAAGACCTTCGAGTTGACGGCTACAAGTTAATCAAAGCAAGAGCCAAAGGGCAGTGTTTTTTCCCCTTTTACAACCTTTTCAACGCCATTTTTTTTGCATCATTAAATCCACAAAATATTGTCCACCGCATGGAGAGGAAAGTATTTTGAACTGGCATTGCTGTGCCAGCTGTGACGATGGAAAAGAGTCAATTTGATTAAACCGTTGAAATAGGAAGCAGGAGGATTAAATTTAATTGTCATAGCGACGATTCAATAATAGTCATAGCAACGAAGAAAGGCCACATAATTCTTTGTTGTCCCTCCTACTCTTACAGTTACGTGAAACACTCCCTCTCTCTCTCTCTCGCTGTGCCTCGGCCTCACGGTTCTGTTTTGTGCAAAACGGGTGTTACCGGTGCATAAAAAAAGGACTCTTCGCATTTGACGTTTATTTGCGCTCTGTTACAAGTTTGGCCCATTGTTAAACTGCATTGCGGTGTGTGTGTGTGTGTGTTGATCGTTTTGAACGGTGTAATGACGCCGCTTTCACCAACACAACTAAGAGTAGCATCACTCATCGTCCACTTTGGCTGCCTCTAAAAGTCAAGGATGCGGACTGAACTCACCGCGGTGGTTCTTGCAACAGTTTTCCTTTTAGTGTGGAGCATTCAAACTCCCCAACTCTTGACACTTGCAAGCACTCTCGAAACTCAAGTGGTGCGTAATCACACAATAAGTCATCTAAATGAGAGCAACACAGTTTTAGAAAGGCACAAAAGTTTGGCCAAAGGGACACTTTTTTTCTCCTAACTGTACATGTCCAAGGTTATGTGGGTTGACTTGTGAAGAGTGGCGCTATCATGGGGACTATTAGAAATTTTACCGACACATTAATCATCAAAAGGAAAGTACCTACAACACTTGGTCTGAAGTCAAATTTCCGAGGCGCTAAATTGTATTTTTGAACTCAGTTAAGGGGGGAAATTTATTGAAAGGAGTCTCCTTTTGCCATTCCTTTCCAAAATGAATGGCCTTTTCGTGGTGTTGTTGATGTGACTCCCCACAACTTAAATCAACAAATAAAACACAAAAAAAGATGAATACTCTCTTTCTGCTTGGTGTAGGGAATACAGGACTTGTCTCCCTTATTTTCACATACAAGAAAGGAACTTTACCTCGTTAAATGCGTGTCATTTGTCATAAATGAGTATTAAAGCCAGGCACCATCGGACCAGGGTATTTTACTTGTCAAAATTGAAATTTTCTTCCCGTTGTAGGTGTTACCAAAAATTACTGTTTCAAATTCCCACCAGAAGAGAGCATTGGTTTGCTTATTACGAGAGGTTGTACTTCAGGACTTGTGCTTCACGATACAGACACAAAGTTTGATTCGCCATCTTTCAGTCTTTATGCCATCACAATGGGGAGTGTCAAGGGTGGAGGCTTGATTGTGACGTCTTGTTACATCTCAGCGGTGTCGGAAGCCATAAAAGCTATTTATTAAGGCAGAAGCAACTTTGACGGGAAGGAGATGGGGGAAGGGGAGAGGGAGGAGGAGGAGGAAATGACAAAGTCAGATAATGTATTCCAGACCGGTCAGTCGGTCGTTCGTTCGGTCGGTCTGTCGGTCGGTCGGGTGGTGCTGTTAATTGCTCTTAAACCAGACATTACAGTTAGAGTGTGATGCCATGCTTTGAAAAAAAAAATTGGAACATGGGCATGATGCATTGATCGCGGAAGTCCACGTCCGCCCAAGGGACTGGTTGCTGGGTGGTTACTGCCATTGCCAAGCCCTACTGACGACGACGAAGTCATTCATTAAGCCTTTCAAATAGGTCACTTCTTTGACGTGCACAAGGAAGTGTCAATTGAGTGCGCTGGCGCTATTACAGAGTCCATTTTGCTAACACCTTGTATGTGCCAGGAGACACTTCATATAAAATCTCTCTAATTAATCACTCCTGTCGGAGCAGAGTGCCGACGATAGCTGAGCGACTTTCTTCCATCCTTTATGATGGGTGGTATTTTGTACTTACACGTTGTAATTTGTTTCCTTCTCTGCTATTTTTGAGGGTTTATGCACAATGGTTACTTATTACGAGTCGCAATTCTGGAGGCCTTTTTAGTTCCACACTCGCTACCGTATCGACGATTATGAACAGGCTAGGGACCATTCCAATCTGAGGGTAGAGAAAGTATGGCTTCCCTTTCATCACAAATATAACTTTATTGTCAGTACTGTGGATCCTTCATCATAGGCAGGAAAGTTAAATGACATTTAGTACTGCACAAGTCCAAGGATTGAAGGAAGAAATCAGACCTACTCCTAATGGAAATCGAGGGCCACTATAAGAAGAAAGTAGAAGCACATTGATGTAGACCTTCAAGCCGGCGGAGAGCTCACGCTATCAACGTTACCGTGTCCTCCTTGGGAGTGCGCACTTGATTCATGACAAATAGGTAAAAATAAAGCCATTGTTGACATCAAATCTTGAATAGGTCAAAGGTAATGCCAAGGGCCTGAGCAGATCGACTAACTGGACTCCTGCTTGGATGTCGTGGTGAGGTCGGCACCTGCTCAGGTGTCGACTTTGAGGTTTTCACTCGTGATTTATTCTGTGATGGTGACGACGAATAATGAACTCATCAGAGACTCTTAAAATTTCTCAAATTTTCAACCCTCCTTGCACCACATCGGAGAACGAGTGTGGAGGCAGAAAATGTACTTCTGCTTGCTTGTGGCGTGACTCCAGCACTTTAACTATCACTTTACTCGCATTATTCACACAAATGTAAAATCCTTTCCTCGTACCTAATTTGTGAAATGTTTGTTGTATCTTCGACTCATCAACAAGCCCTTTTTGTCATCTCCACAGACGTGGATTGTGGACCTGAACGCGTGTGCCTTCTAAAATAGGTCCTCCTCTCCGGTCTTTCCTATTCAACAAAGGGAGGCAGTAAAGATAGTACATAACAGTCCGCGACCTTTTCCGCGCCTATGACATTTTGTTTACCTGACAGTTGGCCAGTTGGACAGTCATGAAAGCAAGCGCCACCAGCCTTTGCCGGTGTGTGCACGCGACCGACCACCTGTGAAGTTGACCCCACCTCTGTCCGTAGGTGCGCCTGTATGTCCGCCTCGCTTTCCGCAGTCCAACTTCTAAGCCCTGTTTCACACATCTCGACAACTTTGGCCCCTTGGCCTTACACATGTGCAAACAACCGTACAATTACACCCCTCCACGCCCTGCAGCATCGTTTCTCGGTGGATGTGCAACTGAGGCTAAACTTCCGGTGGTGAGACCATTGTTGGAAGTTGCAATGATCTATTTTAATTACTATAAAGAATAGACAAATCGTAGTCATTGATAACCATTTGACTTGCAACGGTTGTATGGTTTGCAGTGCTTTTGTAACCTCCAAGATTCCACTTAGACAGTCTAGAAGGATTGCGAAAGTTTCATTTCTCAGTGGAAGCTGGTAGAACTGAGGTTCAGGCGAATGATCCTCTTCACCTTTGGGTGTAAAAATAGATACATGAACATTTTTTTGGCTGGCCGGAAACAAGCGACCTCTCAGTGCGGTGCGCCCCACACGGCAGTGAACCGAACCGGAAACTTGTTTTGTGCGCTCCGCCGACATTTGTATTTGGAAACAATTTTTAAAAATTTTTTTGTCTAAAGTTTCAAGTAATCCACTGAAATTTACATGATCCAACAACTGCGCATTATCTTTCGAGCTTTTTTCACATCTTTTTTGCTATTTTAATGGTGTTCGAATGCTCGCATTTTTTCTCTTCTCCGCCTTTCCGTTTCAGACGTCACAGTCAACTGTCAAGCGGGATTATCATATCGCTTCCAAGCAGATGTAGGTTGTTGATAAATAAAAAAACTCAGCAAACATTGTTGTAGAGTAAAAATCCTCTAGTGTCTTTCTAGTCTCTGAAGCGGAACTAATCGTCACGTACTTGACCAATGTCAGCTACCCAAACGAAACTACAACAACAAGCCAAATTTTGAGCATTTTAGACAAGCTAGTCGTCTTCGGCACATCTAATGCCCGAGGGGGTCCTCTCTGACCACCTCACTGTGACCTTTGGAATTCCTCTTTGTGGGGGTGTGGGTGTGTGTGTGTGTACGCGAGGTTACGAAGGCACAATTGTCCCACATCACTTTGTAAGGAAATAATTAAATTCCCGTGTTGGAAAATCGTGCTCTAACATTTGTAAAGCTTGGATGTCACTCCAATCCGGAATGGGCCCTACTTCATGTCCATGTCGTATTTGTAGTCAAGGCTCCCTTAACGTAGGGCGATCCTCCATTGATAGGCTCCGAGGTTTTGGATTTTTATCATCGAAACGCATTTGAAAGTTCTGTCTCTGCCGGGGAGACAACTCTTCATGCCTTTAATGCATTCAGGAGGCGTCAGTTTCTGCTTTCCAAATCCAAATTTGCATAAAAGAGTGGTAAAGGTATTTTGTGATACCAAAATTAAGAAACCATGCTTCTGCTTTGTTGGATTGTTGTTTTACTGCTCCTTTTGAAGTAAGTGACAACGAGGCCTCGCAAAGTAGCGCCCATAAATTTTTTTCCCCCAAACAACTTTGGCTGCACTCTTCTCTGGTCAGTCAACGGTTTCAGACAATTCGACAAAGTCTAGTCATTGAGGATTTGCACGAAAATTTTCAAATCCAAAAATACTTAGCCCAAGCAGCGGGCTACTTGACTGTGCTTTGGTCAAGTTTTCCATTGCCTTGCCAAGTGGTAAATGGAATGGAGTTTACTTTCGACTACGTGCAACCCACAGTATTCATGCAAATGATTTACAATCAGTGGTTTGAAACAAGGAAATACGAGCGCCTCCTGGGCCACGCAGAATTTACTGTTTGCAGTTCAGACGCCTTCCACCACTTAGAGCCGCCCTTCGTATATTCCCATCGTCATGGCAATGGCCTAAATGGTGCATAGTTTATTCCATCTTCTTGCATGCATTTGTAACTTGAGGGCTGGTAAACGTATCTGCAAGTAGGAAGAGGCTTTTACCTTCTGCAATAAATCACTTACGAACTTCGTCGCAGAACCTGCATTGAATGTGGCCATAAATTTTCACTACGCCTGCTACTGCACATTTACAATGGGACAGAATGTGGAAAAGTCATAGTTGGAATTTGGGATGGTTGTGTTGGTACTGTGGAACGCCTCTCGAGGTCGATAGGAACTGATAGACAAATTTAATTTTGCTTACCTCCATCCACTTGTCTTCATCTGCTCTACAAATTTTCCTGTGCCAGACCAAAGATCCACCGTATTGCAATTTTTTTGCGATTCTGTTCCTCACGCTAGAGTCTATTTACTGTGACACTCCATTCACCCCCTTTCCTCATATCTCCTCCTCCGATACCGTTTGAGCTCTCCTTTCGACAAGACTCTGTCCTCCCACAGTCAGTCCACCTCGCAAGGCATTTCTTTTACATTACAACTGCCGAAAAGAATCCCCATCTTGACAAACTTGCTAGCTGGAACAATATGAATAGGATTGTGAAGCGAATTAATGAGTCCAAGTTCTTCAAAGACGTCCTCGTTGAAAGCGCACACCTTCTGATGCCCCTGTTTTTGAAGTTAAAGTGTTTGCGGTTGGACAACGCGTTTTTGTTTGCCCTCCCTCGAAGCAGGGACACATTTCACCACCTTTGACGCCTGTTTGTTGGCTTCACAGGCGACTCCATTGTTGAAAGTTTTAACAATGTGAAATGCAGGTGGGAAGGCTGAGGCGCAGATCGCTATATTAATTATTTACAAGGGAAAAATATTGCCTGTTTATGACCTCTACATGCTGCGCGGTGCAATTTTCTCCGCCACTAAAGAACGCACAACCTTGAGTAAAATCAAAGCGAATTGTAGACACAATTTTTGTTTCAACTAACCTTTCTCGATGAATCGCCAAAAGAGGCCAGTGGAAGGCAGGCGAGGAAGGGTCTACAAGTGACATTTCTACAACGATCGAAAGACGGTCTGTAAATGCCCACCACTGGTCCATGCCCTCACAACGCACAACCACGTTAAAGTTAAAAAAAGGCAAATTTATGCATTCATATAAGAAGTACAATTTTAATTTCTATAATGCATTAAAGCATAAAATAATTCTAAGTTTAAATAGCTGACTTTAAAGAAATGTCGATCTCTACAGCTCCGATAGTTTGGTGCGCCTGTTTGAAACCGATCATCTCGCCTCCATTCAACTGAAGTTCAGAATTAACAAAAAATCCATCAGTACCTAAACCAACAATAATATTTTCACCACTTATATGTTTTTTTACTGCTACTAATCCCATCGTGGATGCGGGTTGACATAGGTGGTGCAGTTAGACTAATGAAGAATTCATGCCACAAAGTTGTGACGTCTGGTTTGGGGTAGAAAAACTGGAATTGGTATGCCATTTGGGATCTTGTTGAGGGAGAATGAGAGAATTTTTAAAAAAAATTTGTCCTGTTAGTCGGTTACAGAGGAAAGGTATTAAGGAGAAGGTGATGAAAGTGAGGAGAGGACTGGCGATGATCAGGAGTCTCTTTGTTGCATTCAGCTCTCGAGCATAATGGAGGTGTCGTGCGACATTGAGATGATACGCGATCCAGACTCGCGGAAGTCCAACATCACCTATGTGGCGCGTCACATAGAGGATGCGTTGACATCACAACGTGAGTACCGTGATGGCTGTGGTGTCAACTGTCGTCAGGCGATGGCGCGATCCTGCTGTTTCTGGTTCGGTAAACGCTACGGCAACTACCTTATTTGCCTTTACCTCATCACCAAAGCCCTGTACATATTCAACGTGGTTGGGCAATTTTTTTTAATGAACCGAATATTGGGCACGAACTACACCTTCTATGGCCTCGACCTCATTCGCGATATTGCCGAGGGTTATCTCTGGGAGGAGTCGGGCAATTTCCCTCGCATCACGCTTTGCGATTTCGAGATCCGCAAACTGGCCAATAGCCATCGCTATACTGTCCAATGCGTCCTTCCTATAAATATGTTCAATGAAAAAATTTTCATATTCCTTTGGTTTTGGTTCATCCTTGTCTCCGCTGTAAGCATTAGCTCCTTCCTCTACTGGTCCTACAAGTCTAGCTTCCGGTCTAATCGAATTCACTTCATCCGAAAGTTTCTCAAACTACGGGACTCCCTTGAGCCGGGTGAAAAGAAACGCAGCTATGCTTTTGTGGACTCCTATCTTCGTCAAGACGGTGTTTTTATTCTTCGTCTTGTGGCTCAAAATGCTGGTGAATTAGTAGCCTCAGAGATTGTGGAGAAATTGTGGCAAATGTTTAAACGACGTCAATCCATACCAGTCACTGAGAAGGCAAGAACTAATGAGGTCGGTTGGAAATCGGGTGTTTCAGGACACTCGCACATTCACTCTCCACCAATGCGCGTCCCTCGAAGCTCCGAGCTGTCTCCTACATCCATTACCTCACCCACCGTCAACGCTCCATCACTTCATGGATCGAAGCATCCCTTCGGAAGCGGATTGCCTCCTCCTCCATCTGTGCCTCCATCACAGTATGCTATGCCTCCTCCACTTCCCCCACCACCAGGCAGCGCTGCATCCGCATCAAACAGCGTCGTCAGTGGTTCCACTTCAAGCAACACTCAGAGCACTGAGAGATCCAAGAGCGGCTCTAAACACTCCTCCCTGCCTTCAAAAAAACTCGGCGTTAAAAGAAACTTCGCTAACCGTACAATTGAGGAGGACCCCGGCGAGTTCGTTTAATGTTAGGCTTCTACGTCCCCCCAAAACGCAGATGTTTTATTGGCAGCATCAAACAGGAGCAAAATGATAGCAACAAATTCCTTCTCGACTTGCCTTACAATATTGCTCTGATAGAGTCAACCCTATCTATATATACATATTTTTAAAAAAAATCCCAACTACCTGTTCAGCCGCCTTTCTTTTCCTCCTTTCCACTCCTCCCCTCCGTCAGCTTGCCTCATTTAACAGTGTATCGTTCCTGTGTGCCCAAATTCTTCCATTCCATTTGAATAATACCGTATGAAAGTGGATTTGTCGGACGGGCCTCCTTCAAGTAGAACTAAATTGTGCATTTCAAAGATGAGCGGCCTTAGAGTATACCTAGGAAGACTACAAATTCGAAAGAACAATTCGATAAGCCAACCCCCTTTCGCCCCACACCGAAGGACACCACTCGTGCTTTTGTTATTGTGCATTGTGTGTTTGGAGCAAAAAAAGGTGTAATGCAAAGCAGCGTATTTGCCCTCTCTCCTCTCCCTTCGCTCTCCACTCTATCTCTGCTTGAAGGTAATTTTTTCAACCCGTACAGACCATGCCACACCCTTGGAATTATTCTTGATGGTGTGCATATGGCGTGGCCTCGGTCTGCCGATCGATTAAGCGGACAGAGTCGACGCTCCTCCGCCTTAATTTGGGGTTTAGTCAAAAGGGGAGATAATTATCCTTTGTTTGTTTGCTCAATTTTTTATTTTGGTGTGGATTTTAAGGTTGGATAAGGTAAGAAAATATCAGGCAGATGTTTTAAGCTTAACTATCTACCACATATTCTTTGGGAGACGTGTAGTATATCTCATTTTTAAATGGCCATGACGTTATTAGTCAAATTGTGCTTCTCAATTTAATGACATGCCTCCATTTGCAAGAATTTTTGTTCAGTAGGTGGAAAATAACGTGAAACAGGGATAACTTTTTACAGATAATGTGAAAGAGTGTGTAAAGGGGAGTTTTCTAAAAACTGGCGCTGTGTGAAGGGAGGTATTGCGCGGCGCATTGCTGGCCGCCGTTACAACTTAGCCACAGCAATTTCGCCAGTTCCCATGGGGGAGTAATGCAGTAGGGGCAGGTCTTCACTTGTCCTGTCGTCAAATTGGGCCTGCAAACTAGTCTCACATAGCCGGCAGCAATACACGGTTCGCCACGACCATTGGTCCTGAACGCTGTACTCGCGTTAGAGGACAGTTTGAGGAAGCCTGCAGTGGCAGTTCTTCACCCCACCTCCCACAGCCTCATCTCCTCGCGTTAAAGTAGATCAAGCGAGGGTAAAGCAAATAAAACTGAGGGATAGGAAGATTAACTGTAGTTTAGGAATTTGTCTTGTTTTAAGGTTTTATGCTTCTCCCCAAATTAGGTCCTGAAAACCACTTTGTGAGAAGTTGATCGGAATAAATTTGTTAAGCATGCTGAGGTTTTATGATTTTTACTCAGGTCTTAATGGCTAATCCCGTGGAAAAAAAAATCCTAAAAAGCTTGGTGGATGGGGAATCGTTGATCCTACTTGGCAATCTCATTAAAATCCAGAGAATTGCCCTATTTGGGAATTGCATTTGGGACGGAGGGAATGCACCGAAACTCTCCTGTGTTCATCGCTGTCCTGAAGCCAGAGTCATTTATTAAAGGGTGGATTTAAAGTAGTTTTATGTGAATAATGATAGACTTTCATTTCCTCCCGCCACCTTGCTCCCAGTTTAGTGCTACCCAGCCAATATTTTAGGACGTTAATTTAGCTAGCAGAAAGGTGGATAAAGTGTTGTGAGTTCAGTCCATTGCCATCTTCATTGATGTGTCTTGGACAGCTCCATAAAGAGAATTTCTTGATGGCTTACGACTAAGGCTACTGTTGTCTTCGTTGTTTTCCACTATCCTATAGAATTTGGTAGCCATGCAGCTGCCGATGATTAACGTCATTGCCAACACCGCATGCACCCTCTCCACCGCGGTAAGATTTTTACCATCCAGAAGCAAAACTTATGTTTGATTGTAATCCGCTTTTGTCAATGCTACACACCGTCATTGGTCTGGAAAGGTGGAAGAAGTAAAAATTTCGGTGCTAAAATATGTATTTTTTATTTACCAAAAAGGATCAGAGCGACTGCAGCTTTAACTCCTGAAGGGCCGTGTTACTCGGCAAGGACATGATGGTTGAGGCTTAACCGTCTCAGTACGAAAACGGAGGCCTAATTATACACCACAACATTGCACAATCCTTTTGTCCACTTCTGCGAGATGTGTTTGGAAAGGCAAGTTAAATTTATGAGCAGCCACTTGATAATCGAATACTAAAAGCAATTGAGTGGTAAACATTTTGTCAGTGTTTAGCATAGACGGAGGTAGGTGGACTGAGGAATTGCCATCACTGAGACCCAGTGTCTGGTGCCCTCCCAAGGGGACAGGGTTTGTAAGCCTCTTAGGGCTTACAAAGGGGAATGAATCTACTGACCATCAACATCACGCAACTAAAGTTCACATCTTAAGGGTGCGGATTTTACGGACATCCCAACAACGTATTTGTAAATGAAGCCTTTGACAAAAATACGGCACTTAACTGCTGCTCAATTTTGTCTAGGCGAGTCGCCTCAAAGCTGTCAAAAGCAGGTAATAATTACAGAATGAGATCCTATGCAAGCGCATACAAGGGAACGGATCTGAGCTGACTCCTATGAATGACTTAATAAGAGGGTTCTCGCCCCTTCACCATGCACACTTGTCATTTCGCTGCCCACTTCCCTCGACAGGAGCAGTTTTGAGGAATGCAGAGCAATTCAACTTTAAGGGAGAGGAAAGTGGTCAAAACAGACAATAGAGACTACCACCTTTAAGTCGTTAAAAGCCAAATGAAAAGAAAAAAAGGCATTTCACTTGGGGCGGAACAGGTTTGTCGGTGGAAAGATTGGCTGAGGCGAGGGTCACGCTACCCAGTGGAGGCTTCAAGACGGGCAACTAAATTCTCACCCAATCAGAATGTACAGCCAAACAAAAAAAAAGTTAATTGTCCTGACAAAACATGCGACTAAAGTTGAAAGGAGTCTCATCCACTGTTGCCCTCTTGCAGCACTTAAGTAACTCAGATCCGGTTTGCGTCCGAGTCTCAAGTGCAGAAGAAACTAAGTCCAAATGTTTTGCATCAAAAAGCCTACATTAACAAGTAGATGCCTCAGTAAATGGTGCAATAACAACTCCTCCCATTGTTTTGCTCTAGTCCTGAACCGAGATAACCCCCTTTTTTCCTACCAAGTAAAATGCCCTAGTAGAGAAATCATGCGAAAAGTACATTTGCCTTTGATTAGTTTCCGAGGCAAATGGTCCAACTGGGAACTTCATGTGTGAACTCGATTTGTTCATGATACATTGCCATAAACTCTATTTCCGCATTTCCCCATCCTCTCCATTTAAGGGAGCAGTCTCTAGGCTTTTGCAAAATTTGCGCATAATTCGGTGCTGACGGTCAATTGATTCCAAAGTGGTGAATTGAAGGATTTTAGATGATATCGCTTGCGCGTTGTCTCAAAAACACCGACCGACTTTTGCCATAGAGATGGAGAAACAAGAGCGAGTGAAATCTCCTCACCTTTTGCATGCTATGATTGCGTAAAGGTGGAGGAAACATTCCGCCAAGCTCTTTTTTGAATGACAAAAGAGCGTCAGCATGGAACATTACATTCTCTAAGAGATCGTAATCGTGCTATAGGGCTTTGAGACTTCGGCAGAAACTAAAGACAGTGGAATGCGATCTAAAGGAAGGTCTGGGGTAGGCACCAGAGCCTGAAAGTCAAACCTCCCAATGGAGGGGCAAAATCTACCCGAAGGCGAAAGCAAAAAAAAACTGGTTGACCCCACAGTGGAAGAATACAATTTGGTTGCAATGCTCGGTACGTGGGTCCACGCACATCCCTGCCTGGTGAAATTGGCAAGAAAGCTTACACACTCAGCACCCCTTAAGTCCACCGCTGATAAACGCCGAATTCCAGGCCTTTAGCACCACTGCTGTGTTTTCTTAGCCCCTAACTGGTTAAAACTTACAATTACGGAATGTCAAAATCTCCATTTTACCTCTAAAATCTTTGCCATTCATAGAGAAAAATTCATTTCCAACGTAATAGTCCTGCCAACCACAAACTTCTTGTCCAAGGAGGTGGAAAATTAAGGTGCAAGCAATGCATCCACTCGCAGAAGCAGACAGTCTCCAGGCAAATAGGAGTTGGCATTATCTTGACAGGTGTTTCCAAAGGAAGCTACTTTAAATTGACAGATAAAATCAGGGAATGGGTGGAGTACACATGTTTACTTAGAATAAACTTACTAAATGACGCTAGTGGATTGGTGTTAAGGAGACGTGCCCAGTAATACCCTAACTTCCATAAAGTAATGCAAAAGACAACAAAATTTGCAAAAAATTTGCAAATTAATTGAAAAAATAATCTGAAAATGGTGAAGATTTGTGATAGTAACTCATGTGATTCTCGTGACGAGTGTCAACTTGACTCCCGATTTTGGTGGATCTTTGACGAGTGCCTCAGCCTTTTGGACCGGGCAAGCCGCTCTTCACCTCCTCTTCACGTCAGCAGTACACATTCTGCTCGAGTGTTGTGCCTTTCCTCCTCTTCAGGGAGGTCTCTGGGCGTTGCACCTATTTATAGGAGGGTGAATAAATTTGCTATCCGGAAACTGTAAATTTAAAGCTCTTGCAAATCAGGAGCCCATTTCAGAACAATCCTTCTAGTGATTGTGTGGAACGTGTCGCAGGGCAGATGATAAGGCAGGCAACCCACTTGACTAGACTTGATGTTTAGCGCTACGTTTGGAGTTATGGCTGGGTAAAGCGGAAATGAGGCGCCCAACATTAGGCCCTTCAAAACTGAGCTATAAAGGTACCTGTTTGCAATGTTGAAAAATGCGCTAAGCTAGTGGGACTGGAAGGCAACAAATGGCCAGTTTGAAAAAGTTTGGACTTGACAATGGCCTGC